TTATTTATCCAACCAGGGATAAATTTAAAATGTAATACCCAGCAAAGAGAGTCTAAAGGATACACTAGTATGTACCAATCTTGAAATGGAACATATATCAGTTTCCCTTCTCTGCTTAATCCCAGGTAAGGTGGCCCGGTTGCAAGCATGGAAGTTGAAACGCCTGATATCGGTGTTCAACCGTGTGGCATCTCGTGGGCACTTCCCTCGTGAACGGGCCATCCAGCGGATCTACATTGGATCAGGCATCCCATTGCCTGCGAACCCACGCTACTTGTTGCAAAGGGTTTCCCAAAAACAATGGGCCCACCTATATTTTATGGACTACTTACTTTCCAAAAATATTGATGATCTATATCTAATTTGATGATAACTATGCTTGACATGTTAGGACCTAAATTACATTCCCCTTGCCCTGCCAAGGCTCCAGGTCTTTCTCTGAGAATGCTGATGGCAGCGAATCCTCTGCAGAAGGGGAGGAGAGCGAGCAGCTCACAGATCTTTAGCAGCACAAAAGTTCAGCCCCCTTAGACCATTGATCATTTTCAATTCAATTTGATATTTCATCAATCGCCAATTTAGGACACGGAGTTGGAGATTTCGGATGATGATGCAACATCACCTCCTGCTGCTACGCATGAAGGTCAGGGTTTGGGATGTCCCCGATCCATGAGCTACCATATAGATCCTGCCTCTGCAGGTGCTGAGCCGGCTGCTGCGGTTCCTGTTCATCGCCTTGGTGGTGAGGACCAGGTGTCAGTCCATTCTGGATCATCGAAAGCCACCCCATCTCCCAAAGGATTCTAGGTGGCATCAAGTTCTGCACCATGGTTTACCAATGGTTACCCAACCTCTTCAATGAAAAAAAAATGTTTTCTTTCATTAAAGCTCGCTTTTGCATTTTGTGTATCGAATCACTGGGGATGCAAATTGTATACAATTGTAATTCCCGATATATAAAATTATATATAACGATGGAATGTCCCATGCACACTTAGGAAAGCCTGCGGAGTTGCCAAGCACTGAGAAATTGGAGAGGCACCAAGTTGTGGGTGGCCCCAATGGTACCGGTCAGTGCAAGAAGTGCCAGCTCTCTTACCCATCGGCGCTATGCCCTACTATGGAGGTTCTCATTTCAAGACCTTGTATGGGATACTCCACAAGTGGAAAAGTTCAGATCCTGTATTCCAAGAATTGGCCTCAAGAACTTCAAATCCTTGCAAAGAACTTGGATATTGAAAACTGGCAAGCCATGGCACACTCTGGGAGAAAGTTTCGCATTGGGCCCAATGCCCGTCTTTCGGAATCTCCAGAACCCCATGAGTTTCCGTTACTGTTGGAACCAGTCACTCATGAACAGCTCTTGGAAGAACTTGAAGAACTTCAACTACAAGAGGAGTTACTTAGAGAACAGTTGCAGCTTGTTGAACTGGAAAAAGCCCTGAATGACGAGCAACAGAAGTTGGTAGCCGAAGCGATTCAACAAGCTCCCAAAGGTTGTCCCTTGGTTGTTGATTTTAAAATTACTATTTTTGGGGGAGGTACTATTAAATATATGATCTTTGCATTTGTAAGATTGCAAAGTTATCCTCTCTAGTCTTGCCCAGGTTTGGATGCCATCGACACAGTTCCCTTTCAAGCGACACTGGCTATGGATCAACTGGAGGTTCCACAGGAGGTACCATGAGTTTCAAAATTCAATTACTTGTTTTCAAGCCCTGTTTGTTTAAAGATATCTCTTTATATCGATATCCATTTAATCTGAAATTAGATTGCTGCCTATCCTAACTTCTCTCTCTCTCTCTCTCGCACAGGTGCCACTCCCTGAGGAGAAGCCCTGCACTTTTGCTGAGATGTGTGGAGCCCGTTTGCCTGAGACCCTGGCTCTTGGCGCCACCACTTCTGAACTTGGACCTCAGGAGTTGAAAGATGCAGTATCCCCGGGGGATGGTGACCACATCAACCCAGCACTGTTGCGGATGATCATGGACATGGGTCATAGCAAGGAAGATGCTTTGAAACTATATCCAAGCTATGTGCCTTCCACCCCAGTGACAGAAACCAGTGAGAAAACCACGATCCCTGGAAACCCACATGAGGAAGGAACAGGTTCCACCGAAAAGTTTGAGGCTGAAGACGCACAGGAGGCCGCAGAGAAAAGACGAGAAGATGAAGCTTGCAAGGCAGAAGAAAAGGACGAGTCTGAAGAAGAAGAAGAAGGAGAAGCAAAGGAGATTGCAAAGAGCAGTCAAGCAGAGCACACCAGCCAACATGCCAGGCCAGCTGTGCTGGATACTGTGAAGGTTGTGTCCCCAGAAGAGCAACAGCCAAACAAGAGGAAAAAAAAGGAGGAAGCAGGTGAGGAAAGTGGCAGAGGCAGAGGACGTGGCCGAGGTAAAGGAGCAGGAAGAGGACGGAAGTCAAACAAGAGGACCAAGAAAGCATCCAGTTGCTCAGAGTCAGATGACAACCTTCGCTTTAGCGATGAGGAGTCTGAGAATGAAACTTCTGAAGTGGAAGAATCCAAAAAGGGTCGCAAGACCAAGAAAGCCAAGGATGCAGATGAGAAGCCGAAAGGACGTAGAAGAAGCCAGAAGGACAAAGAGGAGAAGACAAAGGAGGACGCAGATGAGGAGAAGCCAAAAAGACGCAGAAGAAGCCAGAAGGACAAGGAGGAGGAAGATGATGCACATGAGAAGCCGAAAGGACGCAAGAGAAGCCAGAAGGATAAGGATGAGAAGAAAGAGGAGGATGCAGATGAGAAGCCAAAAGGACGCAAGAGAAGCCAGAAGGACAAGGATGAGAAGAAAGAGGAGGATGCAGATGAGAAGCCAAAAGGACGCAAGAGAAGCCAGAAGGACAAGGAGGAGAAGACAAAGGAGGATGCAGATGAGAAGCCGAAAGGACGCAAGAGAAGCCAGAAGGACAAGGACGAGAAGACAAAGGAGGGCGCAGATGAGGAGAAGCCAAAAAGACGCAGAAGAGGCCAGAAGGACAAAGAGGAGAAGCAGGAAGATGATGCAGATGAGAAGGCCAAGATCAGAAAGATGAAGAATGAATCTCCCAAGACGGATGAAGAGAAGCCAAAGAAGAGACGAAAGACCCTTCTGGATCAGGATCCAGAGAAGGAAGGAGAAAAGGATGAAGATGAAGTGAAGCCGAAAAGAAGACAAGCCAAGGAGCCAGCAGACGAAAAGGCATTGAAAGAGAAGAAGGCAAAGCTCAGCAGGAAATCATCGGCCTACCATGTTGCCAAGAAGCAGGCGTTGAAAGACGGGTTGTCAGAGGAGGAAGCGGTGGAGAAAGCTAAGGCTGTTTCTTGACCGTATATATAATTTATTTATTTCAAACATGATCCCAAGGGTTGTTTAGAAACAGTAGCACTTTCATCTTGCAATTCCAGTCAAATCAGAATACCAATTAAAACTCTGATATCTTTTGACTTATTGATTCACGCCAATCTGAATGCCCAGGCTTACAAGGCCACTGACTGAGCGATCTACTCTACACCTACTGTCTTGGGCGCTTAGATGCGCTGAGGACTTGGTGGTTTCTGGGTTTTGGATTGTTGGCTGAAATGCCAACTGGTATCCATATGGGTTACTTACTCACGTGAGTTGGAAGCTTTTGTGGCAAGGGCAGCACAGCTGCGTCCTCGTCTTTAGATTGTAGCTCCAATTGGAACATGTGAGCAGCTCGGGGTTTGGATTGAGAAAGCCAAAGAAAAAACAATTGCCTCATATCGAGCGACTTTGTTCTTTAGCTAGCTGTTTTTGTAGTGGCTGGTTCCTTACTGTCACTTGTCCTGCCCACGCAGGGCCATGGCTGCTGAAGGATGGGCTATCCGATTTCAAAGTGAAGGTTCCTCCCTTTTGCCTTGCACCTGCCCTGCACTGTTTTGTGGCTATAGCGGGGTTCTTTAAGCTTATATATTTTTGCTGACTCAATAGCTTTTTAGCCATCAGACAGCGCCTTGTGGGGATAGCCATGGAGCCTACCTCCATGGAGCCTGAGTCCATTCTGGTGAGATTGATGCAAGTCAATGCCCCCAAGGTGGGAGATGTGCTACTATCGATAGTTTGTAATTTTGTTTCACGGCCTCCCCCAACAAATGAAACAATTTCCCTGTCAGGTGCTTTGTGCCATAGTATTGCTGCTTCAATGGTCCACGCATATCCCAGAGATTCGTCCACGCTTCCAATTTCTGGATCTCTTTGCGGGAGGAGCTCAGGCTTCTACTACTTGGTTTCTTTCCATCATTGATGGGGTACTCACCATTTCATAATCAGGAATGCCACTGATAGTTAACTATAATATTACATGACATATCCAACCTGTCCATCTAAGGTCCGCTCATGGCTATGCTGCCACAAAGTTCGACTACATCTTTTGCCCGGGTGAGAGAACGATGGATTTCCTAAGCTCCCCTGGGTTCTTGTTAGCCTGCTGCATTAACCATGTAGAGAATGATAGATTTCTTGAGCTGTTTCAAATATGCACATGTTATCCAACTGGTTTGACCTAGCCAAGGTTAGCCCTCTGGACTATTCTTTGTGAATTTGAAGAGTCTATGAATCTGATGGGGCCAGATTGCGGATCATGGGGGCTACCCAACAGGGGAACCAGCCTTCGCAACTTCATCAACATTTGGGGTGCTGTACATTTGGCACATGTAGCGGCTGGAAACACGACCATTTCCCGGAATCTTGGTTAATGTACCTGTACTTGTGCAATCCTTGAAATTATAATTCCCTAAAAGCCACGGTACTCAGGATGACTCTGCTGTGCATGGTCATCATTGCCAAGCACTGTTACTTCGTGGTTGAGCACCCGGAAGGGTCACTTTTAAGACGCCATTTGCGGTGGGAAGCATTCTGCAATTCCACATGCTATGTATCTTGATTATACAAGAATGACTTCTCAAGAAATAATATGTTTGGCTGGATGACCAAAGTTACAATATTATGTTGGAAACCACCTTCCAGCCACTGAGGTCTACACTGTGCGGTTTTAGATGATGTTGCTGGGAGCAAAGACCAGCAAACCCACTGTTTGCTGGTCAAACGGCTCCTGGATTTCAGGGCTAGACATGGGCCCTCTTAAGAAACAAGTTCGGCAACAGCAAACATCTCTGAAACCAGTACGTTCGGGTCCCAGAGATATACAGATCGATATAGTGAATTTCAAATAATTTCAATACTTGTAGTGAGGCAAATACATGGACAAGTCCGGGGTGAAACGGTTTTGTGGAACTCCAGATCTACACAAAACAGCGCTGAGATCTCAGTAAATACTTAACATGTTTGATTTACCTGTTTGGGGTTATGCACCTTGCATCATATATTTTGTATATATAAATTTAAATCTTTCCCGGCCCAGGTGTTACCCGGAAGGGTTTGCCAAGAGGTTGATGGAGCTCTATGAAACTCGTCCCTCCTTTCCTTTGCATTTGCGGCACAGGGAACATGTTGATACAACCCTGACTGACCGACAATTGTTTAGCAGAATGGATCTAGGTGATCCCTGGGTGGATGCTGGCATGCAGCATGTGTGGAAGTACCTCTACAACTGTCCTCATGTTCAAATCCCTGACAGCTGGATTGCAGTGATGCGAAAATTTGATGCTGAACTTACCAATTTGGTGCCTTCCTTAGGTTCAATTGATTACAATTCGATCAATATTCAGAGTGGCAGTCTCTTGATATCTCAGCCCCCTCAGTCCTTAGACCAAACTGATCTTGATTCTGGCCTAGGTGTGCGTGCCAGAGACTGAACGGCAAGAGTACAACTTGTCTGTCGAACAGGCGTGAGGCTGGACTTTTCTCGAACTAATTCGAAAATGCGTTACTGAACGCTAAAATGAAACGTGCGCAAATATCCGCAAAACAACCGCAAATATCCACAAAATCGTGCAAAAAGCCGCAAATCTGATTTTTGCCACCTTTGGTATCAGTTGTCCGAACATGTCCAAACATGTCCGAACAAACTTGAGTAATCTCGACAGGTTGATCATCCAACAGTTGCTCTGAATGTGATGTCCTTGACAGGTTTTGGGGTTCAAACATGTCTAACAGAACCCTCGTTAAGGGCTGTCAAATGTCGACTGAAGCAAGCGCCATGCCGGAGTCGACAAAGGAACAGCTAGCAGTACTTTGTCTTTTAAATATGCATTGCCTATGTTGCCATGTGGCTAAGAAACAGCTCTAGGTATATCGATTTAAATTCTGTTCTCTGAGGCAACTCGGGCCAAGATCGCGGCCATCCAAGAGCGCCTTGCCCGCTGCAAAGCTGCTGCGAAGCCTGATGCCTTAGAGGTTCCAGGCTGACTGGGGTTGTTCAAAATGAATTGCAAATTGCCATACAATTAATTCAATTAATTCCAAATATTCGAATCCAATTTTGAGATTTTGTTTTGGGAGGTGCTCCAGCCATAGCATCATCTTCGGGTGCATATGTAGCGGGAACTGCTGCTGAATCCATTGCTTCGTCCAATGGTGAGTTCGAGAAAATCGAGAAAGGGAATCCACACCCACCGTCGACTGAGAGTGGTTGGAGATTGGACCCAATGACAGTTGACAGTGCATGGAGATTGGAACCAGTACCAACCACGGCTTACCAAGGCACAACATGTCCTCACCTCTCCAGAGGCAAAAGCACTGTGTATACGTCCCAGGACACTCAGGAGACAATCCAGAAAAAGCCGACTCAGGAGACAATCCAGTACAAGCCGGCTCAGGAGACAATCCAGAACAAGCGGACTGTGACACTGCAACCACCACAGGACAAGCTGACTCATGTACATGAAGATGCCAAATACCCACCAAAGGATCAAGTTGACAAGGAATCTCAGGGAGGTAGCAATTCTGCAGGGGAAAGCAAGGATGGTACTTCCAAGAATGATGATGAGATACCATTTGGCTACTCACCTGGATCTCCAGTGCCCTCATCTGTGAGCCAACAGTCTGGCAACAAATTTGATGCCATTTACCACAAGAACCTAGGTAGCACGTTATTTAAGAGACTGATCGAACAGTATGAGCTAACAGGTTCTAAAGCAGAAAAAGGTTGCACATATCTCATTTTCCCAATAGGTGTCAACTCCCAACTTTGATCCTCCTTGTTAATGCAGCTGTGATCATAGATCTTAGGATCCGGCGATATTGCGACCCGAAGATGAAAGCCAAGATCACTGCATCGCCCCAGGTCCTGAAGCTTTACAGCACCGATGAAGGACGTTCCTGATCTAAAACATATAATTAACAAATCTTGCCATGACATGATAAAACTCAACTTTGACAAATAACATGTTTGCTTCTACTTTGAGGTGCCGAATTGCGAAAGCTTCTGGAACAACATGGTGATTTCAAGTCTGTTGAGCTCCAGATCACCCGCTGGAACAAATCGACCAACAGTACGGGAAACAAGGGAAAGTGGGTGACAAAAAGCTAGTTGAAGGATCATGAGAAATACTCAGCGTTACTTGATTGCAAATGGTTTTGGTCCAGATTACTTCTCTTACTTCGGATTTGCGACCCACCTTTAACTATCTTGGAAATCAACTGCAACCACAGTAAACACCCACAAGGTCGATGATTGAGAAGTCCTTCCAGTGGGCGGAGTCCAAAGGACTTGTTCGAAAAAATCCTGTGCACGGAGAGGATGAAGCGCGCTTGGTGTTGGAAGATTTCTTTGCCAACAATAACGAGAGAGGTGAGATGAGTCATGCACAAGCTCAAGGTGAAGTTGAGGACTAATATGTCATTATGTATGCTAGCAACATTTATATGTAGTACATGCTGAAAGAAATCTAAGTCGCAAGTGGTTTATGGTCATGGTCTTCACGTTGCTGTTGCAGGATTCTGAAGGCGGCCTCATTGACTTGCAGGGGACCCTTGTCTGTTCAGCAGTGGCAGCGAGGGAGCCCTCCTCGGAAGCCAGGGTGCAGGAGGCTGCTGCAATTGCAGCAGTGGGCAAGAGCAAGTATCTTGGTCACTATGGTCTGAGTGATCCTTACTTAGTCACCAGAAATCTCACTAAAATTTGATTTATAGAATGCGTTTTCCCAAGGTTGGTGTTTCCATCTCTGCAGAAGAACGATTCACCCTTTACGATCTTGCCAACTTTCATCCAAGTGTTGGGGAAGAAGATTGACTCAGCAACAGACCAGAAGGACCGAGTAAACCTAGTAAAACCATGCATGCATGATACTTAGCATGACCTTAAGTGTCTCCCAAACAATTTCTGCCTGGTCTCCCAACCCATGCTTGCCAGGACAAACTCGTAGCAATGGAGGTGCCTCGTGCTACGGAGCAACTTGGTCGGGTAGCAGTTCCAAAGTAGAACCCGTGTATCAAATCTTTAGATCATGATTCATATGATGTTCAATCTTAGGATTGCAAAAGAGGTTGGGACCCTTGTGGACAGCCTCAACAACAGCTACAATGAGCTCAGCAAAATGCAAGCCGACTATCTTTCGATGGAAACCAGTGACGAAAAGTGGGGGCCCCATATGATATCATGTCAACTTGTAATCCCATGCAATTCAACTTTATATATAATCCACTGTTCACATCCTTTCCAGGAGCGTGGACGAGAAGAAGAGATTGGTCATGGCTACTTACGCCCGTTGCACAAAGGCGGATGTGACAATGAACAACTATCTGACCCGCAGTAAGAATCTTGAACTTAAGTTTACCCATACTATGCAATTAAAATTCATTGATAGGTGAGGTTACAGGTTTGAGTTCTGGAATTGTTAGTTAGCCCTTTTACCACCAACTTTCTCAGGAACATCAAGAAGCCCACTGAGTCGGTGGCCAAGGACAAGAAGGATAAGGGCAAGGACAAAAAGCCTGCAAAGCGGGCAAAGGATCCCAAGGATTCTAAGGATGTTGATGCACCCCAGCCCTCAAAGTCCAAGAAAACCAAGACCAAATAGTGTCTTGATAGATGCGAGTCTTTGGGTTGCTTTTTGAAATGCAGCTTTGAACCGGCCCTGTCTGGCAACAGTTGATCTCTATAGAATTAAAATTTCTGAGATAAGAATTTGATTTCCCAATCTGTGTTTTCTCCCTGTCACCTAAAATGCCAGAGCTGAAGCTGCTTGAGTATATTTCACGAGTTGGATGAGTGTTTCTCAACATTCACACGTTGGCGCTGGGACGACAAAATTGCATCTAGAAAGATTTGATAGTTCTTTTGATAGGTTACCATCACAAAATATGTTTTCAAGATCATCTCACCCACGCAGGCCTTGCTGAGCCACCAGATGAAGAGGAACAGCTTGACGACCCAGGCCTGGCACAGTTGCTCAGAGTGCTAGCTGGGGAATGGGCCCCTGTTGGCAGGTGATTCATCTTCCAGCTCGGATCTAGCAGATGCTCTACTGCAAGATGCTGAGACTGGAGCTCCCTGGCTTTCTAACAACGGTATTAGTACAATTTCATACAATTAAATTCTTTAAGGGCTTTCCTCCAAAGATTTGGGAATGTTATTTGGCTGGTTTCCGCACAAGGTTGCTTCAGCGAAAGGGGTGATTCGCTTAGCGGGCACTGCAGCCAAAAGAATGTGGAGACTAGGACTGGTACTTTAAAATTATGTTGATACCTCCATTTGCTTTTTGGGGGCCAGTTACAAAAAAAATAGTTAGATATTTTAACCCTGTAGGAGTACAAGACCCAGAGGTCAACAAGCTCGCTCGGTACAAAGCTACTCGTAGTGGCAGAAAGGGGTCCAATGCCGCCAGGGACTTTCACAGGTATGTTCATCGGAGTGGCAAAGCGTTTCCAGTCGAAATTTCAACCAGGAAAATCATCATCCGCAAAAAGGTGACGGTATCTGGTGGGAAGAAGCGGAAACGCGAAAAAGTAGCTGATTACCCAATCATCCGTATGTCCAGCTGGATGAAAGCCATTCTTGAGAGACACCCGGATTTTATGCTGGGAGGCCATAGCCCTTTTGTGAATGGTGGTGAGAACTACAAGAAAATGTTTGAGGAGTTTTGGGACAACTACGAATACCTGGGAGGAGACCACCCGGTATTTCATTTGAAATCACGGGAGGAAAGGACACGGTGTATACCACTAATGCTGCATGGTGATGAGGGCCGTGGACTCGCAAAGGTTCCACTGCTGGTCATTAGTTTCCAGCTGATGATTCCATTTTCTGGCCCCAATGACTTGAACTGTTCGAAGTATCTCGGATTTGCCTGCATTTTTTTTTGAAAAGAATCCCCATAGTACTATTGTTTGTTGTTTCTCAAAGTTTTCCAACGCATGGTGTGATAGCATTGTGGCAGGCACTCCTTTACAACGCGCTTGCTTTTCAGCCTCATGCCATCAGATTGGTATGCGAAGAAGGACGCGAGTGTGAATGGGCTTCTGCAGGCTTTGGCGGATGATCTTACGGAATTGTTCCACGAAGGTGTTACCATTTCTGTTACTCCCCATGGTTCAGTTATATAAGTTTTTTCGTTGCCAATATCAGTATTTGGGTAATTGTCAATTGGATGCACTGCCTTAAATTCTGAGATATGCTTCCAAGCCTTTGGCGCTGAGGTTGACGGTGAACCTTGCACCTTTTATGGCATCTATGTCGCTTGCAAGGGGGATTGGCCATGGGTCAGGAAAGCTTATGGTTTGTCAACTGGCTTTGCTAGCCGCAGAAAGTGTCATTACTGCCCTGGACAAGATTCTAGTCTGGAATGCAACAATCTTTGGTTTGAGTTCTGAAACCCACCTAGTTTTGTTTTTTTGTGACCATGCTGGACATATGTTTTAAAGCCTAGGAATGGTGGGACATGTCTGCCAACGGTGAAGCTCGCAGCTGTTTGTTCAGTGACGATTTGCCTTCCCCGTTCAAAGCTGGTGAGCCATCACCCCTACGATCCATTCCTGGGGGAAGCGATGCTTCAATCATCAAACCAGATTTGTTACACAACTTCAATCTGGGGATGGGCGGTGACCTATGGGTGAGCACGCTATGGGGATTGTGCCGCATGAAGGTGTTTGAGGGTCGCTCTATACAGGCACGTTTGGATTCTGCTTTTGAGAGCTTTGAAACATGGTGCTCATGGAACAGGAAAACACCACACATCAAGTGCTTTGATGCCATCAAGTTCAAGATGACTTCGATCCTTTTCTTTATAATTATACTGAAATCTTTTCTGGGTTGGGAGTGTTCTTTTGGTCCCTCAGCCCAATTCACTACCCAGCCTTGCAAAGTGCTCCATGGCATTGGTTCCAAGGACAAAGAACTTTCCTCAGAAGGTCGGGCGAGCTCATGACACGGCTTTGCTGTGCAAGTGGCTGCAAAACGAGTTGGACATGTTGGTCCCTGATGATGTTGATTCTTAGTATCAATTTGGATTTGCCCAAACTTTCACACTGAAATAAAACCCCGAAAATGATTTTCAACCATGTACTCAAATTCTGAAATCTGTGAAACCAACTCAGGAAGTGGATCACCGACCACTCTTGGAAGTGATGCAGTGGACTTTTCGCTGCACCAATGATTTCTTTCACAGGATCCATGGTGAGGGCATTTGGATGACAACTACCACTGCTGAAAAGGTCATCTTATGCGGCTACGACTCCTCAGATACTGGGATTACAACTAGCTTATCCAATGCCTTTTTTTGTTATCTCCAACTACTGTTTACTAAGTTCACTACTGTTTTAGGTACCCCACATTCTTCCTTACACCACATTAAAAGATGCCTTTGAGGAGGGATACGGTGCGCTTGCATCCATGAGCCATGAGCTTGGCTGGCGTCTCTACAAACACAAGCCAAAGGGGCACATGTACCTGCACACCTCGATTCTTAGATTTGGGGAGTAATTTTCTTTTGATTGATATACCCAGGAATTACATTCTTTGGGATGGTTTCCTATTTCAATATTGATTTGGGATCTTAAGATTCAAAACTCAGGACTGAAATGCATCAAGCTGTGGTGAGAAGAAGCTCCAAGGTCATCAACCCTTTAAGTTTCTCTTCTTGGGATGTTTTTTATTGATTTCCTTCGGTCACCAAACAACTCAATAATTTCAAAAGAGACTTAAACATGCCCAACAAATCCCAACATGGCCCAGAATGATCCAACATGTCATGTTATGATCTTACTTAGGCTATGCCTGTTGGTCCGACGAGGACTACATTGGTAGAATATGTCGTATTGCACGGCGGCTCAATGCAGGGCCCTTGGTGGTGCAACGGACCATGACCAGGTCCCTCATGAAATACCAAAGGTATTTCATTCGCTTGTCCAAGCATCGAAACTGATCTGACAGGATCAGAAAGGACCATGTTGAAGGTGATGTGGGTCAGACATGCGCGAGCATGTGTGGAGGGATAAAACAAGCTGGATTGGGTATGGTTTGGATTGGGTCTAATATCTCTCGAGCGTTTTTTGACAAAACGAGCATGTTTTAGAAAACGAGCATTTATCCACTGGCAGTAGCAGGAAAGGAACCGGGCAAGAATTTATGTATCAATGGATGTTCCAGGTATATATATATATATACTGCGGTTGCTGCACGTTTTTGTATCATATACTTGCTAAAGAACCATGGAGAAGTCAAAGATCGAAAGGTTACCTTTTTTATTTGAACCAATGATTGTGTTTATGAAGAGATTTTGTGGGATCCAAACATATCAGACAATATCAGTGAAACAATCCGCGGAATATGGATGTATCTATAGAATATCTATGGAAACTGGATAAATATATGGAATATCTTTGTGAAAACTATTGAACATGGATAAACCATGGGATATACAGGTGTGGCCTGAAATACCAGTTATAACAGTTATAACCACTAACAGCACCTCATTTATGGTTCATGTATAATCCCATAGAGTTGTAACCAGTTATAACTAATAGCCATGGCCATAACTGTAGGAATCCAAAGCATCCCCTTCAGCAGTCAGCCATTGGTGCCATGCGTTGAGATGTTGTGGAAATTTTAATCAGATTTCTATAGATTTGTATATTTATATCTAGAATATTCTAGAATCTAGAGAAAAAAAGATGGATTGGTTTTGTTGATAGATGAAGTTGGTGACATGGATACTGATTTCGCTGCTGTCAACATTAATATGTAATATACCCTTTTACCCCAAATGGTGTTGGACAGCTTAATCTAACCCCCACATGCCTGCATTTTGGCTCCTTTTCCCAAAGTCACCGTGTCACCTTCTGGTGGCATCATGGAATAGCTCTTGGGAGGATCATGCTCCATGAAGGACCCCAAGAGGCAACCGATCAGAAGGCCCAGGAGTTCCACGGCCAAACCTTGGGTCGAATGGACTCCATGTGAAATACCCCCCCAAAAAAAAACAGCGGCACCGGTATTTACCAAATACGATAGTCATCGATAGTCCCTGCAAAGGGTCCAGCAAAGGGCAAAACGATGGTTGAAACCATGGAATTTCATGAGTTTCAGATCATTTTCAGATCAACACACCTGGAATGAGCAGTATCCTATGGAAGTTCAGTCCACAAGTAGCGGTTACAAGGTTTAGGATGTGGAACCATTACCCAAGTTCATTGGGTTGACATGCTACTCTTGAGCCAAAGCCCAAGTTTTCATGGGGATTTTAACATCAACCAGAACGAGCAAATCGGGATTCGGCCACAATGATGTCATGTCACAGGGGATGTCCAGTTGGATTAGTTGGATCCTCAGAAAATGTTAAACTATAAACATCCAAGTGAATTAACAAAATGATATAGTTTAGGTTAACAAAATGTTGTGGATTTAGCAAATCATCCAGGTGAATTAACTTTGTTGTGAATAAACATATAGTTCAGTGGATGATCGTTTGTTGTGGATTGACCAACACTATCCTGGGACATCTCTGTGGAGAAGACCATATGCAAGCACCATGGTGCTGGAATATGAATTCAACAAAACTGCCCTTGTCCAAAATCACCCAGTTGTGTAGGTAAAAATCACCCAGCACCATGGAATATATATATATATATATGGGATGATGCAACTGTTTGGTGGTAAAACCGTAACCCCACCATTTTTTGGGGGGGAAAGACGACTCGACTCACCTGAAATCATGGCGACCTGTGCGTCACAACCACCTGCCGGGTCGGTGACTCTGCCCCCAAAAATCATGGTTCATTCATGAAAATTCTCGTGGGAATTTTCAAGTCATAGCCTCCGGTCGTGGCTTTCTCGTGGGGCTAAAAATCCCTTGCCATCTGATGTTCCCATCCCAGCCTCCATTTCCCACAGATCCTCAGATTTTCCCAGAGATCTTAGGTGCCAGGTACCCATCATGCCCAGCGAGGCGAATTTGCTGAGTTGAGTCAGGTCCTTCAGCAAGGCCATGACACAGAACCTGGGCTCCCAAGTTTAAGCGAGGAAACATCGGGATCGCGTCATTGTTCATGGTGAATCTCAGATTTGAGAAATTCTGATAATTTGTATGTGTATATATATATATAAATATTAATAAACATATCCCGATTTATGGCAAAGCTTATGGAACATTAGACATATCTATCATATCCTTTCAAGGGTTTCAGTCCTAGTGTCCATGTTTAGGGTTGGAACATCAATGATAAGCTCGAACAAATCCTTTGACCCCACCATTCAGAAAAACATGTTTAAATACTCAAAATATCCTCAAACATATCCAGTTGTTTGGGTCCATGGTGTCACCCCATGTGTCACCATACCCACATCATTCAGCATTCAGCTGCACTTTCTCTTGGTTGAATCCTCGGCATTTCGAGTGAATTTCGCCATTGAAATCAACCATAAAACACAGATTCATTTGGAGGTGTCCGTTTTGTCATGGGGGTAGCCCAAATCATCCAAGTTATCATCCAGTCGTCATGGATGATTCATGACTTAGCATTCAAACCTGCAGTTGTGGCCGTTAAACAGTTATAAATGGGTTTACAATGATATATATATAATATAAACCCACTTTATAGTATAGGATTATAATTATAATTCAAAAAAAAAATGTTATACAGTTTGGCCATAACTGTATGGTTTTCCGACTGGGGATCCCCCAGTCGACTTCAACCTCCATGTCCAGAAACATTGGCATGATCACGCTCCATCGCAGTAGAGGCTTGGACACCTTCTTCACCGGTATCAGGCCCACCAGCGCTCCGGTGAGAAAAGTTTGGGAGAGCATAATGCAGGCAATCATCACCTGCTATGGCCCGAGTTATACCAGTTATAAGTACTACGGAAACCCCATTTCTGGTTTTATGCCAGTATAACCAGCAATACTAACAACTAATTACCAGTATGCTATTAGCAATTGCAGATATGGCCATGGCCATAGTCATAAGATGTTATAAGCTATCAGTTATGTATAATCCCATAGAATTATAACCAATAATAATCAGTTATAACTATCCTAGCTGTCCTAGCCATGGCCTTGTCTGTGGCTTCCAACCGTGCCATATGATTGATTTTATGGGAAGTCATGGAGAAATCACCATCAATTCGTGGGGGAGAAATCCATGGAGAAGGGGGCTGAAACACCATGAATTTCATGGGGATGTTATAAAATGTCCATCACCAAATACTGGAAAATGTGGTTTTATATAACCATCTTGAAAAATATGAAAAACATCAATGGGAAGGATGACATCCCATATATGAAATGGAACATAAAAATCATGTTTGAAACCACCAACCAGAATGACTATGGTGTTCAAAGTTTCAATGGTTTGCATATGTTTGCATGCGGTTGAAGCGGGAAGATTGAAACCGGAAACCTCTGGAAACTAAGCCATGAATACTTGGTGAGTTCAACAAGTCGGACTTGGACTTTGAGGACTCACTGAACAAGGATGGGGATGTTAAGGAACAAACGCACCACACTATAATCTGCAAATATAGTGTTATTTGATTTTGAATGAGCAATGATATGAATGTGGCTTTATGCATCCAAAGTGGTGATTGTAAACAACCGAAAAAGGACTTCGATCAGCAAACAGACTCTATAATCTCTATAATGAAGGTTGAACCGAAACAAATGAAGGTATCTTCGCTCGAGTGAAAAGCAACAAGACAACTCCCAAAAATTCACTGCTGGGCGGAGTGATCGGAATGCTGATTGGGCTAAGCACGGATTAAACATTAAAAATTTCTCTTCATAATTGTTTATATATATAATATATATATCATTATTATTATACACAAACATAGATACAATAGCCAGATATCCATAGACGAGTTACTATACATCCTGATATTCATGGCATTTATCAACAACATTCTTAAACCTACCATGTTCTAACCATTCATGCCTGAAATTTTGTCCCGCCAGTGGCTGGCAGTTAAGCAATCATCAACACACCAACCAACACACACCAACCAACCAACCAACCAATCAACCAACACCAATCAACCAACACCAATCAACCAACACTAGTCAACCAACACCAATCAACCAACACCAATCAACCAACACCAATCAACCAACAACAATCAACCAACACCAATCAACCAACACCAATCAACCAACACCAATCAACCAACCAACCAACCAACACCGACCAACGAACGAACGAACGAACGAACGAACCAACGAACCAACCAACCAACCAACCAACCAGCCAGCCAGCCAGCCAGCCAGCCAACCAACCAACCAACACACACCAATCAACCAACCAACTAACCAACCAACTAACCATTCATCAACACAGCAACCAACAACGCCGCTGAACAACAGTACCAGTCACGGTGTTCTTTGTCACCAGAACCACCTTGTACATATTCACAGCTCTGGCCAACTCCTACGAAAAAACGCTGGGCCATGCTGGGCTGATAGCATGCAGCGCCTCTGGCAAACTTTCTGGCCGTTTGCTATGGAAAATAGGCCGTTGATAGATGATGTATGCTGATTAATCATGATTAATCTATCAACAATGCTGATTTCTGGTGGGGATTGATTCAGACATCGTCAGCAAATGGACAAAAACTGCGATGTGATTGGGTCTGCAGGTGAATGCTTGGTGAGTGATTGGTGATGAAAAGAAAGAAATCAGCCATGATTGGGGACTTAAGCCACAAAAATGGGGAGTTCATGACTTTGCAAGGAAGTACAAGTGCCTCAGCCTCCAACTTACAGAAATCTCTGATGTGTAAAGAAATCCTACTCACCCTCCAATTGAGTACACTAGCAGTATTTCAAGGTTCGGATGAACCATGTCGTGTCATCACCAAAGTGTGGACAATCGTCACTGTGACGCCGAACGTTGGAAAGCCCATGTCACAAATTGACGGGGATGACCATTGAGTTTTTCTTGCAGCCAGCTTAGCACAACCACCCAGAAATGGAAAAGGATACCTTCAAAAACACCCCGCTTTGCTCGTGAAGATCTTCGTAAAATTGGGATTTCAATCCAAACTTCTCTCCTGAAAACAGCAAAACAAATTGACATCCAACATGTAGACTCTTAAACTCAGGTGGAGGTTTCCTAAAATTCAAGGCTTCCCCCTAAAAATCCTCCAAATTTCATAGAAGTTCCGTATTAGATTTTCCATCCATGGCTCTATCTATTGGGCTATCCCCTGGTTGTTCGAAAGCCTCCAGGGGTTGACCCCGACCCCCTGTCCTCGTAGCTGTTCAGGCTACCAGGCCTTGCATTCGTAGATTCCTCCACGAGCTCACAGGCTTGGCAGATCAAGCCACCCATCCTGGCAGCGAGATTTCGATCAGATTTCTGTTTTTTCCCCACCTGCCAGGTGAGGGTTGTTAGATTTTATGTCAGTTGCCTCCTCCTCCTTCTCCTCCTCCTCCTCCGCCTCCTCCTGCCTCGTCCTCCTCTCCTCCTCCTCCTCGTCCTCCTTGTCATCCTTGTCGTCCTCGTCGTCCTCGTCGTCCTCGTCGTCCTCGTCGTCCTCGTCCAACTGCGACCCGCGATCCACAGTGTTCTCTGCCGGACCTCAACCACGACCACCCACGCCCAGTGTTCTCTGCCGGACCTCAACCACGACCATCCACGCCCAGTGTTCCCTGCCGGACCTCAACCACGACCAGCCACGCCCAGTGTTCCCTGCCGGACCTCAACCACGACCATCCACGCCCAGTGTTCCCTGCCGGACCTCAACCGCGAGTATCCAAGCCAAGTGTTCCCTGCCGGACCTCATGTAGGAAGATAAAATGTCAGATAGAGTGCCAGAAGATTTGCCAGGTAGAATGCCAGAAAATATGCCAGAAGATATGCCAGATAGATATGCCAGAAGATATGCCAGATAGATATGCCAGAAGATATTCCAGAAGATATGCCAGATAGAATGCCAGATAGAATGCCAGATAGAATGCCAGAAGGTATGCCAGATAGAATGCCAGAAGATATGCCAGATATAATGCCAGAAGATCTGCCATATAGAATGCCAGACGATATGCCAGATAGAATGCCAGATAGAATGTCAGAAAAGATGTCAGATAGAATGTCAGAAAGAATGCCAGAAGATATGCCAGAAGATATGCCAGATAGAATGCCAGATAGAATGCCAGAAGAATTGCCAGATAGAATGCCAGAAAATATGCCAGAAGATATGCCAGATAGAATGCAGAAGATATGCCAGAAGATATGCCAGAAGATATGCCAGAAGATATGTCAGAATATTTGCCAGAAGATATGTCAGATAGAATGCCAGAAGATATGTCAGAATATATGCCAGAAGATATGCCAGATAGAATGCCAGAAGATATGTCAGATAGAGTGCCAGAAGATATGCCAGATAGAATGCCAGAAGATTTGCCAGATAGAATGCCAGAAGATATGCCAGATAGAATGCCAAACAGAATGTCAGAAGATATGTCAGATAGAATGCCAGAAGATGTGCCAGTAAGAACATGTATAAATGTCATGGTGGGGATCACACGAAGTAAAGTAATTTTTCTGGATGAAAAGTATGGCAAAAAGTGCGATTTTCTGATATGTCTCTGATTTTTTTGGGGGTTGGGGGTATCTTAAAACTGATGAGTGTGATCAATGATTTTTTTGTTTTGTTGATTTGGGAGCCATTTGGATTTTTGATGGGGGTCGAAAAATGTTCCTTGAACATATTTCATGTTTTGTTTGACTGGTTATAAAACCAGCTTACCACGTTATCATTAATTTGAGAACGCCAGTTGCCTGGGAGCGTTCAGCAAACTCAATGGGTAACTCATGGAGGTTTGGAACTGGCATTGGGACCTACTTTTTTTAGGCAATGGGACGACCCAATTATTTGAATTTTGAGGAACTGGAAAAAAAGTAGGTTTATAATGGTTTATACCTATTGGTTCTTTCCCAAATCTTCAGATTCGTTAACAATGGGACGACCTAAACGTGATATAGTGCCCTTAGGCATTGCATAGCTGTTCAGGATTGAAAAACTATGATGAAAGAGTGGATGAGGATTCCACGAATCTGGTAAAATCATATATGATGGATATCTCAAAAGGAAAACACTGAAATGCTGGAACACTGATGCTGTGGCAGAACCAGCACTTATTAGAGGTAGGAACCAAATAGCAGGGCAATCCAAGCAGCACAAGTTTCTGACCAAACCAAACGTTTGTGGAGATCATTTTGGGTCTTCGTTTCCGGGGCTTCGCTTGAGTAGTCTGATATGTGAAAAGACGTGTTTGAACTGTTACCAGGTTTTTTTCCCAAGTGATATACCCATTGTCAAGCCATTATATATACAATCTATCATAGTCCATCCATATCTATCCCCTCACAAGTTATAACATATCTATCAATATCTATCCATATCTATCCATATCTCTCTATTTATAGTTGATTTACCTATCAGAAATGGTGGACCTTTCCATGTTTTTTTCTATGTTGACCAGAGGTTTTCATCCCCTGAATCCATGCAGATCCCTCCGGCGCTGGTTTCCTGATGATGACCAGCGCAGACAACAAGAGCAGCGGAGGGCTCAAGAGGTAACCGCACCTGCAGAGCGTCAAGTGACAAATGGATGGGGAAATCATCCGAATTTTGGGTTTTTTTTGAGCATCAAACAAAATGGGGATATGTGTATGTATATGTATATATAAATAAATGTATATATATATATATATATGTGTGTGTAGCGGGATATAGTTTCATATAGTTATATATAGTTGATAAATGATGATTGATGAGTTGTAAAATAAGAGATAGCAAATGCCCTGGACTGGAGGACTACCCTCTGGTTATTTCACATAGCGAACTGGAAGCCATGGCCCATTTAGTTCCATAGTTCCATGATGATTCTCTAGAGCAAACTATTAAATTGCCAGAGGGTAGTAACCAAGAAGGGTCAAAATCTGAGGGTGTTATACCAACAATTCTGGGGATATCCAGTTTATCGTGTGTGTATTACATACATTGTAATACATATATATTATATAAAATATTTGATATATTCTATATGTATATATTAATTATATATATATATTATTTAAATATGTTATATTATATATTATTGATATATATATATATATATTATATATATTATATATTATATATTATATATATAATAAATAATATATAATATATATAATATATAAAATATATATTATATATATTATATATATTTTATATATTATATATATTATATATTATATATATTATATATATTATATAATATATATATAATATATAATATATAATATATAATATATAATATATATAATAATATATATATATATAATATATTTATAATATATTTATAAATTTCTATGATATATATAAAATATATAATATATATTATATATATTATATATTATATATTATATATATTATATATATTATATATATTATATATTATATATATTATATATATTATATATATTATATATATTATATATTATATATATATATATTATATATATATTATATATATTATATATATTATGGTCACCGACAGAATTATGGAAAAAAATACAACGTTTCAATTTACAGGCGCCGCCTGTCTATGATAGAAAAGTTACGAACCTTTTTTTTCCATAATTATTGTTTCCATATTTTTTTTTCCATAATTCTGTCGGTGACTGTATGTCCATCGATTCGCAATTTGAATGCATTTTAAGGGGGAATATTGAATTATAGAAAATATGTGTCTAAAGATCTGGTATATGCCCCTAAAGCCTTCCATTGATATACATAATATCATGTGATGTTCGCAATTTGAATGCATTTTAAGGGGGAATATTGAATTATAGAAAATATGTGTCTAAAGATCTGGTATATGCCCCTAAAGCCTGCCATTGATATACATAATATCTGGATGTTTCCTTTTGCCAAGCCACCAATTGGGTTGATACTGCATACTTGCATTTGCATACATATTTCCATAACCCCCAAAAAAAAAACGGGTTTGAATTGTGAATCCATGACATGTCCAACAGGTGGAGCCCCAAACATTAATCATGGAAAAAATAATTATGGAAACAATAATTATGGAAAAATAATTATGGAAAAACCGGTCAATCTGCCCTAGCCCCCTGATTTCACAGGAAAAATCAATTATGGAAATAATGGCCACCTCCAAGAATTATGGAAAAAAAAAAGGTTCGGATCACTTCCGGGATATTTTGAACCCTTATGGGGAAAAATCCAATTATGGAAAAATCGGACGCAGGCGCCGCCTGTCTAAGTTCAACGTTTTATTTTTTTCCATAACTCTGTCGGTGACTGTATATATATTATATATATTATATATATTATATATATTATATATATTATATATATTATATATATTATATATATATTATATATATTATATATATTATATATTATATATATTATATAAAATATATATTTTATATGTTATATTCAATATATATACATATATATATATATATTAAAAAATATAAATACTATATATATATATTATATTATATATTATAGTATATATATACTATATTATATTTATGTTATATTAAATATATATGTTATATTTGAATATATTATATAATATTATATTAAATTAAGTCATAACATATATATATATATTATTTAAAATATATCATCTTGAATATATTACATAATATGTGTATATATATAAAATAATATATATGATAAACTATAAATCAAATATGTGTATATATATTATCATATACTATATGATATCTGTATACACATATTTATTATTATTAATATATGTATTATATTAAATATATGTTAGGAAATATTATATATATATTCTTTTAAAAATATTATTATATTATTATAATTATATTATATATATACATTCTATATAATATATATATATATATGTTCAATTATATATATTATATTATACATAATATATATAATATTTAACATATTAAACAAATATATGTAAAATTATAAATATAATACTAAATGTATATATATATATATATTATATTATACATTTTACATATATATAAATTATATTAAATGTATTATATTTCATTCATCAAAAATATAATATATATATATATACTATATATTATATATTTTAGAAATTATATTTTTAGTAATTTTATATATATATTAAATTAAATCTATTTTACATATATTATAAAATATATTGTATTATATTATATTATATATATTGTCTATTTTAGTAAATATTATATATATATATATTGTATTACAAATATTTAGACATACAATATTATATTATGTATATATTATATTCTATATGTTAAATATTACATTTGTTATTTTATATATATATTGTATATTCAGTATTATATTATGTATATTATATGATATATATGATATGATATATATATTATATAAATTATAGTAAATATATTATATACATATTTATATATATATTATACTATACAAATATTATATTATATATATTATATATTTAAAATATTATATATATATTATATCATCAACACTATACAGATGGGTGCATCTGATCATGGGCGTGCTTTATGCCCAGATGGTCATTGGTTTTTATCGATGGTTTTTACCCGGTTGGTTTCGATGTCGCCCAGTGATGTTGACGTTTTGTAGAAGGTTTCAGGTATCAAAAATAAGATTGAAGTAATGACTTTCTGAAATATATTCTGATTTTTCGATACCTGGAATATATTCTGGCGTACATTTGTTTCGCATCACACCGTCCGCCCTTGGTTTCTGTGGTTGAATCATTGGATCCTAGGCTCTGTCCCATGATGTTGGGCAACAAGCAAACCATGCCGCCGATCAGGGCCAAGACCAAGTTCGTCCAGGCTTCCTTGCTGGGAGAAGTATCTCTACAATCTTCACAACGAGCCCCACAAAATGTGTCAGGGATTCATCACTGATCACGGTTGTCAGTATATACATGCACGTGTATTATATATATATATAAGTATATAAGTATATACAATTATAATCATAATATATATATATATACATACATACATATGTCTAATATTATATGTCTAATATGTCTAATATGTCTAATATGTCTAATATGTCTAATATGTCTAATATGCCGGCTCAGCGAAGTTTCCTGTCGAGTGATGCCGGCCGCCGCCTCTTGCTCCGGCTTGCCCTCCGGCTCACCGAAACTGGTCCCGCCAAGGGCGATTTGTTCGCCGCCGAAATAGCCGGCCACAGATGCGCGCCATATCCTCTTGACCTCAACCCCATGACTTTGGGGGTTGAATCATGGCATCATGGCCAGATTTTCATGGTTTTTGGGATGGTTTTAGATGGATAATCCTGGGATAACCAAAGGATGGTTTTACATGGCTGTTTACTGAGCAACAACAGCAGGATTCTTCATATTAAACCCGATCTTTGCACTGTTGACCAACAGTCAACCTTTGGACCTTTGGGTGTTGATAGAAGCGGCTTCGAAGGTGGGCACAAACAGCAAACGCAGGTACATTGTAATAGCCAACCTACCTAGATCAATAACAAGACGGCAGGCAAAAGACCCAAAAATGTGGAATGCTTCGATTTACTCTTCATCACAAGAGGAGTGAAAATCCATCGCTCATTAGACTGGACAATATACAACGGTTCACTCCAATTAAATATTCGGCCATTTTGGAACTTGTCTCATGTTCTATTTCTTTTAATGTGTATCTATCTATCTAATCTAATCTACAGTAATCTAATATAATATATATATATATTATAATAAATATATATATATATATTATAATTATAATATATATATATTATAATATATATATATTATGTTACGCATCATTTTATATCCCCATAGTTGGTGAGATCCCCAGAGATTTTCTCGGAAGCCGAGTCGCAATGCTTGGTCTCGCCAGTGTGGGCTGGCGCACTTCCAAGGACTCCATGGTGCAACGCGCGGCACAAAACGCTGAGCCAAGAAGCCGACACTGGAATATGTCATGCCTAAGTCGTCATGCCTGTTGGTGTTTTTGTGATATGTAAACAGAATATGGAACATATTAATGGAATATGAAATGCGGAATATGGAATATATGGAAACGAAACTAATGATATATCACAGCATATTATATAATGATTTTGCCATGGGGACATAATGGGAATATGTATGTATGTATGTATGTATGTATGTATGTATGTATGTATGTCAATGTATGTGTTAATATGTGCATATATATAATTACATTGTATATAACCAACAATATGATAAATGCACCATGATCAAGCTACATGGTATATGGGATATGGTCATTCATCCAACACTAGCATTCCATACGATGGCGATATCAATCCCTGTAGGAACGGATTGATGACCATCCCCCCATTTCATCCCATTTCTGGGTGTTCCCCATCTTGAATGGCCATAGCTGGCTGCGAAAAAATAGCTTTGTCCCAAAATAAGGTACCAATGTACCATAACAATGCTGCTTGAAAAATGTTGATTGTTTATCTCATCATCTTCCCTATATATTTTCCCTATTTTGGGGTATCCACCTATTTTGGACACCCATGATGGGTCGTCAGCCTCCTTTCAGGATTGTGGATCATCAATTATCCGCCAGCAATTTAATTGGCAATCCCCTTCATCAGGTTGTTGGTCATGTACCCCCTTCATCATACTCCAATAGAATGACTTTCTACACATGGATGATGGCGGCATTAACCATAGATTATCCATAGATTAACCATTAACCATAGATTAACCATAGATTAACCATGAATGACCTTGTTTGGTGGCATTCAAAAAGTTCAATTCATGGACAATGATGGGACCCCAAGAAACCCCCCAGTCCGTATGTGAAGCTGACAACGGAGGTCCCAGATTGATAAACCTCTATGAACTATAGTCATATCTACTATAAGCCATTGCCATAGTTGAAATTATACTTCATAGTTAATCGAAGGGCTGGATGAGGGTTCTCGCTCATTTGCGGACTATCCCAGGACAAGTGCCCATCCAAGATGGGCACGTACCATTGAGTCTTTTTAATGCATATTTGCAGGGTTCAGAGTCAAGTGCCCTTCTCCGGGGTATGTGCCCATCTCCGGGACTTGAAAAAAAAATGGACAGGCACATACCATTGAGAAGTTATGGGGATTTGCGTACAAACCTCTGAGTTAACCATAGTACTAAAGTTGCAATTATAAATCATAGTTTACCATAGTACGAACCATAGTATAAACCACTGTGCAACCCATAACGTCTCCCCATGACGAACCGGCAGACATCTGCCTGCGCTTGAAGCGCGGCCCAGCTGCAATCCAGCGTCGCACATCCACATAGCCCTGCTGCCCTGAAGGACCTGCAATCAGCGGTGATTGATGGGGTCACATGGCTGATCTTAGATGGCTATGGTGATGAAATAGCTTAGAAAGATGGCCATATGGTCCCATCTCTTATATTCCTTTTATTGTATGGTCCTCCTGATTTCAGGCACAAAAATATGGTGACATTCTATTTATCAAAATGGATAACTAGATATAACTAGCCAAACTAGGAGGAACACGGAAGGAAAGTCACCAAGAAGTTCGTTTGGGAGGATTTCAAATGAGAAAAAAAGGATTTTAGGCACTGAACATGGTGGACTGAAGCGGGCAAAGCCAACAAATAACTAAGGCACTTCGTTCAGGCGACCATGTATACATGTTAAACTATATATATATATACAATTATATACATAACAACAATGAAAAAACAAGATCTCAACATGACTTCCACAACCACAATTTCGAAATCTTGAGATGAGCTCGAAAGTTGCTTATTTGAAGGGACTCCACTTGCTATCCAACGTGCCACGGATCGAAATTTCTCACCTCGCACCAACATGAAAAGCCGGTGCAGTGCCGGTCCAATTTGACCTTGGCGACTTCCAAAAATCTGAGGATCATCCTTGAGGGCAATCCCGTCGGGACAACCAGTTTTTGGGACAAGCGAACCAGTGGCTTTTGAAATGGAACACGGGAACTCTCTTAAATGGGTAATACCCATATAGTATAATCCGGATTAATCCGGTAAGAAAAACTGGGTGTATCCCAGATGTTTGAATAATGGGTTATTATTAAGCACTTACTGATTTTGATGCACTCAAGTAAAGGGTCTATAATCACCCAACTTCTCTAACCAGTTGCCCACGTCACATATCACCCCAGCTGCAAATACATGGCCAGTCTCCAATCCAAAAATACTGTTCAAAGCTCCAAACTTTTAAATATGTCCAACAAAAATGGCACAAGACTCTAGTCACCCCCCAAAAAAAAATACCGAACAGTAAAATCCGACCTGAACGTGGTGATAAAAATCACTCTTCCCGGGGTTGCTATCGTATTAAACCTGATTTTCAAGAAACCACGGAGGGTTTACCCGGCGGACGTTCCAGGTAATACTCGATGTCCAGGAAGAGGGGACACTTCACAGCCTGGCCGGGAAATATGATGGGATCGACTTGGGAGATCGACGTCCAAAATGGGGAAATTGGGTTTGAAAAAAATATGAAATTACCAGGTTTTGGTGTCCCATCATTTTCAGCCAGTGAGCAGAGAATTCTTTAAAACACTCCATGTGTTTTTCAATTATAAGTATATTATATATATGTATATATCCGCATATATATATATATATATATCCCATTATATCCCATTATATCCCATTATATATATATATATAGATTATATAGCCACAGTATATATCTCACTATATCTCATCCCCAAGGTAGATCCCCATTACAATCCCATGACGGTTCACCACCCCACCTCTGGCGGTTCACCACCCTGGACTCCAGCCGGGATCACCTGTCAAGGGCAGGATACAACGTGTCATGAGAGAGGTATATTCCCAACAGCAGGGCCTGTTGGGTTTCAATCTCTAGGGCTGGGGCTGGCTCGCGGGGACTTGCAGCCTTCAAATCCGGACCCTGGAACCCTGGAACCCTGGAACCCTGGAACCCTGGAACCCTGAAACCTTGGAACCCCGGAACCCTGGAACCCTGGAACCCTGGAACCCTGAAACCTTGGAACCCCGGAACCCTGGAACCCTGGAACCCCGGAACCCTGGAACCCTGAAACCCTGGAACCTTGGAACCCTGCGACCGTGGAACCCTGAAACCTTGGAACCTTGGCACCCTGGAACCCTCAAGGATTCTGGAACCCTGCAACCTTGGAACCCTGGAACCTTGGAACCCTGCAACCCTGCACACTTGGCACCCTGCTGGGATCCTGGAACCCTGAAACCCTGGAACCATTGGAACCATTGGAACCCTTGGAACCCTGGAAACCTTGGAACCCTGAAACCGTGGGACCCCGGTACCCTGGAACCCTGGAACCCTGAAACCTTGGAACCCCGGAACCCTGGAACCCTGGAACCCTGGAACTCCGGAACCCTGGAACCCTGCAACCCTGGAACCTTGGAACCCTGCGACCGTGGAACCCTGAAACCTTGGAACCTTGGCACCCAGGAACCCTCAAGGATTCTGGAACCCTGCTACCTTGGAACCCTGGAACCTTGGAACCCTGCAACCCTGCGCACCTGGCACCCTGCTGGGATCCTGGAACCCTTGGAACCCTTGGAACCCTGGAAACCTTGGAAACCTGAAACCGTGGGACCCTGGTACTCTGGAACCTTGGAACCCTTGAAACCCTAAAGCTTCCAAACCCTAAACTCTATGCCCGCTGCGCGCGCTGCATGCAATATAGTAAACCCTAAAACTTCCAAACCCTAAACCCTAATGCGTGCTGTGCGCGCTGCGTGCCAGAGATAAACCCTAAAACCTTCAAACCCTAAACACTAATGCGCGCTGCGCGCGCTTTGTGCAATAGAAATAAACCCTAATATCTTCAAACCTGAAACTCTCGTGTCATAGAGGTAAACCCTAAAATTTCCAAACCCTAAACCCTAAACCCTAACGCGCGCTGCGCGCGCTGTGTGCCATAGAAGTACCCCTTAAAATCTCCAAACCCTAAACCATCGTGTCATGGAGGTTAACCCTAAAACTTCGAAACCCTAAAGTTCAACCCACGCTGTGCACGCTGCATGCAATAAAATAAACTATAAAACTTCCAAACCCTAAACCCTAATGCGCGCTGCGCGCACTGCGTGCCACACACATAAACCCTAAAACTTTCAAACTTTAAACCGTAACGCGTACTGCGCGCACAGCCTGCCATAGAGGTAAACGGTTAAACTTTCAAACGCTGCGTGCCATAGAGGCAAAGCCTAAAACTTTCAAACGCTAAACCGTAAAGCAGGCTGCGCGCGCTGCGTGCCACAGAGTGCTCCTCAAAAGTGATTACATGTCATACTTTAGTGGCATCCTCCAAATTCATTAGTCAGCCTTTGTTAATCCAGGGCCCATTTTACACATGTCATCTTCTTGGTCGTGGCGCCATTTCAGGATCACACTGATGACTTAAGCTTTGGCCTTAACTATTATGCAGGCAAGCGACATCAGCACGCTATGGTATTGGAAGACACAGGGTTTGCCCGTAGACCAGCCAAAAAATCGATTTTCCACACTGAACAATTGGATTTAACACATTTAGAATAAGAGCTCCGCCTGATTCAGATTTCATCACTTAAAAGGTACCCATGCCTGACTAGCCTTCATGAATGACTTAAAGCGTAACCACACCCGGCTTAAGGGAACCATGCCTGACTAGCCTTCATAATTAAGAGGTACCCACCCACGCCTGACTTAACAGAACCCATGCCTGACTAGCCTTCATAATTAAAAGGTACCCATGCCCCTGAATTCAGGGAACCATGCCTGACTAGCCTTCACAATTAAAAGGTACCCACTGGAACCATGCCTGACTAGCCTTAATGACTTAAAAGGTAACTACACCTGACTTAATACCTGATTTACTGGTTTTGCCTGATTTTGGAAAAACGCAGGGCCGGAATTTGCAGGGCGCGGGCCGGAATTTGCCGGGCCCGGGCCGGAATTTGCCGGGCTGGGATTTTGGGGTCGTGCCTAAATAGGATTTTTGCAAAAATCGTGCATGACTGAAGGGAACCATGCCTGACTAAACATCATACCAATCATCCCAAAAGAATCCAATAATTCCAGCAAGTGATGCCTGACCAATCCCTGCGTCATAATAAACCGTCTGCCCCTCCCCACCCAATAATGAACACACGGAATAGTTTTTTGTATTTAGTGGGTATTTAGTGGGTATTTAGTATGAGGGTGCGAAACTTCCCCCTTGGTTAAAAAAAACTAAATTGGAAAACATTTTTTAAATAACATCTAACTAAAATATTGCCAAAATTGGATTCCGAAGCTTCCCCCTGACATTAAATTGAAAACATTCGTTTTAAAAAATGAACTTTATATTTCAAAACCGATTGAATTCCTATTCAAAATCTAACTCAAATCTTGCCAAATTGGATTTCGAAGCTTCCCCTTATATTAAATTGAAAACCTTACTAATCCCCACCTCCTTTTACTAAACGTACCCTAAATACTAAAATATTACATTGATTCCTTTTACTAGGGTCCGCGTTAAATTTTGGGAAATTTCAGGCTGGCCAGTTTGACTTTTAATTGATACCTTTTCAAAAACAAATTAAACATGAAGGTCCCATTTCAGGATTTCACCACCAAAAAATAAAAACTAGTCAGCCCCGGTGATTTTTTTAAACTAGGGTCTTTTAAGGTCGAAAAAATAAGTATTTTATATTACAACGTTTATATAATATTGGGGGAAAACTTCGAAATCCACTTTTTGGCATTTCCTGGCAATATTTTTGCTGGATGTCAAAAGGAAATCTAATCGATTCTTGAAATCGAAAAACCATAGTTTTTTTTTAGTGTTTTTAATTTAATCTTAGGGGAAAACTTCGAAATCCAATTTTTAGCAATATCTTAACTATATGTTAAACAGAAAACTAATCGATTTTGAAACAGTTTTTTTTTTTAAAAAATATATATATATGGGCTGGTAATTTAATATTAGAGGAAACATTTCGAAATCCGGTTTTTGTTTTTATTTTTGTTACTACAATTTAAAAGGAAATCGAATCGATTTCAAAAAAGAAAAAATAATATTTTATATTAAGGTTTTTTTTATGTAATATTAGGGGAAAACTTCAAAATCCAATTTTTGACCATATTCTAATTATATTTCAAAAGGAAATCTAATGAATTTTGATATAGAAAAAATAGTCTTAATATGAGGGGAAAGCTTCGAAATCCAATTTCTGGCAATATCTTAATTTGAATTTACAAGGAAATCTAATCGATTCTGAAATAGAACAAATTTAGTTTTTTATATTGGAATTTTTCATGCAAGATTAGGGGAAGCATCGAAATCCAATTTTTGAACATATTTTAATAATTGGATTTTAATTTGATATTAGGGGAAAGCTTCAAAATCAATTTTTTGTTTTTTTCATTAGATTTCAAAAGGAAATCTAATCGATTTTGAAACAGGAAAAAAACAAAATGATATTAGGGTTTAATATAAGGGAAAAGCTTCGACATCCAATTTTTTGGCCATATTTTATTTAATTTTTAAAAGGAAATCTAATCGATTTCGAAATAGAAAAACATACATAGTTTTTTATGTTGGGGGTTTTTATTTGATATTAAGCTTCGGAATCCACTTGTTTGCCATATTTTAATTGGATTTAAAAAGAAAGAAATCTGATCGATTTTGAAATAGAAATATGTGTATATATATATATATGTGTGTGTTTTTTTTATCAGTATTAGGGGGAAGCTTCGTACCCTAATACTAAAGATCCCCCCAATACTAAAAACTCCTCCAGGTGTTTGTTATTTGGGTGGGTGGGTGAAGGGGCGACTGTTTAGCAACAGGGGGAAGGGATTAAACTGTTTTTTGTTTCTAATTTCAAAATCCGTGAAAATAATCTCTAAATAGAATACTGCCAAGAATAGGATTTCGAAGCTTTCGCCTAGTATCAAATAAAACACCAACACCTGAATTAAAAAAACTAAAATTGACGATTTTAAAGGACGGACCCCAATAAAAGACACCCCGGTGTTGACTAGTTTTTTATTCTTTGGGGGTGAAACCCTCACATGGTACCTTCATTTTTAAAATTGTTTCCTCAAGGGGATCAATTAAAAATCAGATTAACCAATTTGACATTTCCCAAGATTGGAAATCGCACCTAGTTTTTGTCATTTGGGGGTATTTTTCGTAATAGGGAGAAAGGATTAGCAAAAAGAATGCCTGATCAAAATGATGCTGATTCTGTGTGTTACAATCTTTTTGCCCACTACAGTGTCTACAGGGTTACAAGGGATGCCGTGCCAGCTAGAGTCCCAAGTCCATTCAACCAACACCCTAATCGATGAAGTTGGACTTGTTGAAATGGAAGTGGGACTGGACCAGTTGACATGGGGCGATGCTGACCTTCAACGGGAGCTTCGGCGCCTGAAGGACAACAGTTTGAAAATTCCGAACCTGAAATATATTTTCAAAATTGCCTTACTAAGAGTGATCCCCACCCTGACACACTATTCTGACATAGTTTCTGACATATCATCTGGACGTATATGTGGCATATATGTTCTGACATACTATCTTACATTCTTTTCTGAGATTCTATTTGACATTCTTTCTGGCATCCTATCTGGCATCTATTCTGACATACTTTCTGGAATATACTATATTCTGATCCTGCCTTGCCATGAGTTTGGGCTGGGAGTGCTTTTATTTGCGTGGATCAATGCCAATGGCTTGAATATCCACCAAATGTTGGTTTCACATGTTTGCACCCAATGATTGCCATTACCATTGATACCCCAAAATGGCCAGGTCCTGAATTTGAGAGTAGGTCCTGAAAAGTTTTCTGGGTACTGAAAAAACAGGACTTTGGCACAGGGTCTGAAAAAAGACGTAAGTGGAAGATTCAGGTATGCTGTTGGGTTGCAAAGCTGGGTTAATTGCGAACTATATCTTATATATTATATACATACGTACACACATATTATACTTATATATACATATATATATATACACTGGTAATGTATACATACATACATATATATATGGCAATGTATTATACTGATATGTAATATATATATATATATACATACTCATATTGTATACGTAATCACATACTGTATACTTCACTGCGTGACTAATGATAGGGGTATGTCTCAAAATAAGTACACCGAAAGCCCATGGTGCATCATCATTCTTCACATGAAATAAGGTTGTTTTAGAGGCTTTAAAGATTATATTGGGGTTGGGTTAGTTTGGGTTTCTTTCAGCCTTTCGCCGTTTGTTAAGGACATCACTGTAAGGTTCGCAACATTGCAAATTAGGGAGAATAGCTTTAAGACCTGCTTCAAAAGGCGAATCACATTATGTATCCTTACTAATATCCTTACTAGCATCCTAGCCAGATCATGAAATACATATATAATCATATATATATATAATACCCAATCTACTATACATTCCAATTATTGGAGATGGATACATACCGAAAAAATAGAATATGATATAATTATCCCTGATGATATGTATATAATATATATATATATATATATACATATATATATGTACATAAATCCATAACATCCCACTAATAATCTCCAAAAACCGAACCGAAAAGATGCGACCTCCCCCTGGGTTCTCCCAGCCGCCACATCAGCCAGTCGCGACCCTGGAGGCCCTGGCATAGAATTCAGGCTGTTTTATCACTCAAAATGATCTAAAGATCCCTGAAGAAATGATGTTGTGGATATTAATGGATAGATGATTTTCGGAAATATGGGGATATCCATATCTATGATCTAAAGATCTAATATCGAAAGACTAAAGATTTCAATATTTTTCTGGATTGAATCTGTTTTATCACTCGAAATGACTATAAAATGATCTAAAGATGTATATTAAAAACACATGTTCCGACGTCTTCCGGAACCTAGAAATTAGACAGTAATCCCTGTTCTCCAAAAGGTGTGATTCCCTCTGAAATAGGCACCTCTAAATGAGTGAATATGAACAAATCCAATAAATTTGACTAATAAAACTGGCAAACTATTGATTCCCACCGTTCACACAAACTTTGGACCTATATCACGTGGGATTTTCTGCAAATAAGTCTTAAGTCTGCATTTGACCAGCACACACTTACTAAAAACACTCACGTCCCACCTGCATTTTTTCCACGTCTTTTCCACTCTGGGAAAACAATCGAAAGCAATTGGTGCAGTTCAATGTCAGCAATGTCAGCACTGTGGCCAGATTTGACCACTTGGATTCACGCGGTAACGGGGATCACACATTTTCAGATCCCGAAAACAAGACTGGCCAAACAGTGTTCATAAACACACTTGTTGAACAGAGAAACCATTCCAGTCGAAATGTTCAAGGCTTCACACCCAGATTCTCAGGCGGTTTTCTCCGGCACGCCACTGGCAGGTTTTTCCGCTGTATGGACCTCCTTCTGTCGAAAGATCAGTAAGGGAGCGCCGGTGACGAACTCAGTGTCGACATGGAAGGCATTGTTTACATCACCATATGTGGGTTTCCATAAATGGGGGGTACCCCAAAATGGTTGGTTTATAGTGGAAAGTCTTATTAAAATAGATGATTTAGGGGTATCCCCATTTCAGGAAACCACTATATTATATACATGACTATTTGAAAATATGCATGCACTATTGCTAGACACATTACTAGTATTGCATTATATATACACTACATTACATTGTGTCATCATTACTATTGCATTACCACATACTATGTAAGTTATATACTATATACATTATCATACTAATTATCATTACAGTACGATCTACATGACATTGTGTCATCACTACTATATTACCATCTGGTTATTCAACATAGCGAACTTGAAAATCCACTACAATCTGATTATTTAACATAGCCATGGAAAATCCCTATAAATGGAGGTTTCTAGCTGGGAAAATCATCTATAGATGGGCCATCTATACCATGGCTATGTGAAATAACCAGAGGCTATAAATGGAGGTTTATTTCGCTGGGAATTTTTCATCTGTAAATGGGTCATTTTCCATAGTTCATATGGGGCTTTCTCAAGTCATGGTGGATCCCCAGTCGTCACCATATGTCACCATGGGTTTCAATACCAAGTCATGGTCATCATGACTGGATGATTTGGGATTTCCCATAGGAAACTTTCCTCTGATCCCTCTGATCCCAGGATGGCCCATATTTTTCCTGCGGAAAGTCATAGTGATCATAATGTTGTTGCGCCTCTCGGGTCCCCCATCGGGTCCCATGTCAACGAAAAATCTGGCCCAAGAAGCGAAAAAGATGCTGAATCCCAGATGATCAGTGAAGTTCACCAAGACCATTTGTAGCATCCGGTAGGTTCCAACCTGGGAGTCTATACAGTGGATGTTAAAGGAATTAAGATGAACTAAGTAACCAGCTTCATCCAACTTATGGGGCTTATAAAATCAATCATGGTCAGATCCATTAATACCCCCGCGTTCATCTTGTGTGATCCCAAATCAGATCATATTCCGGGCGATCGTTGTGTTTTTTGCGGTAATCTAGGGTTGGGTGCTTGGAAATGAGGTGTTTCTGTTGTTGATGCACTTTACCGGCTGCCCTTCCGGTACAATGTATGGTCACCCATGTAACCGAATCTGTCAGGCCACTTGGCAGTACATCTGGGATTATGGGTGTGGGTCAAACATGGGGTAGCAGCAAGGGACCCAGGGACCCGCAAAAAGTTCATTGGCTTTGGTCTTGAACCATCCTTTTAAGGGAGGTGAATCATTTTGACCCATAGTGTCAACCTCCGGATTAATGAAGCCCCTGGTTGATTAATTAGAATGGTTGCCCGCAAACAGTGATAATCTGAAATGACACCTTCCCAAGTAAACAGCCCAGGGGGTTATTAATCCAGGCTTGACATTACCCATGTACCATGGATCATCTTATCATCTTATCATATTCCCACAAAAAAAACATACGATATCCCCAGAAGATGGTTGAAGTTGAATTTACCCCCATATCATTAGTTGATTTTCATTTAACTATCATATAGTAGTTGAACTAACAATGGTAGTGAAAAAACATACTATATCCCCATAAAATGCTAGTTGATTTTCTTGGATACAACATGATACCGCTGGACCCAGGCACCACGTTGGATGCCGTCATCCCAACTTTGTACGCCACGTTGATGGCTTTTTGCGAGGTGGGCCACCAGGGGAAGTGCCTGCGAAGGTTTTGCATCGTCCTAGGGCGAGTTCGCGGGATGGTGTACTTGGAGATCATGGCACCCAAAAAAAAACAACATGCAAAAAAGCAGATGTTTATACGTAAAAAAAATGTTGTTTACATGTGAAGAACATGATGGGACCACCAAAAAAATGCATTCAACAAATGAATGCCCTCAATATCAACGAGAATCACCCCCAAAAAATGGTTCGACATATAATTTTGACAAGATGTAACTAGCCATATTTGGATGTTTCAAAGGTTGCAAATTATTTGCTGAGTAACTGATTTCAAGCCGGAACGGAGCCAGAAGGATCGGCAAAGGCCATAAATCCGCAACGCGATGTGTACAGTATGGGTGTACGCCATGTTTAAAGCCATGTTTAAAGGAACATTTTTCCATTCAGTCATCCATGACTACTGTAGCAATCAAGGTTTCTTGCGGGGTGCTTAGAACAAATCTTGTTAACTTATTCATGGATGTTCATGGATATTCATGGCTAATGCAATGCTAATGCTAGATACTGCCGACAAAAATCATGGCTGGATATCACAGAATCTCTCTGTAGAGAGCGAAAGCGGCAAACAGTGTTCCATCAGTAAATCGTTGTAAAACATGCTATTTTTCAATGGGAATTCCAGGAACCTAAATTGTAGGTACCTACCATATATAAGGCCTATGTAAGGCCTATGTAAGAGGATATACCCCTAAAATATGGCCTTATATGGTACAGTACCTCCATTTTAGGATCCTGGAATTCCCATTGAATTTTGGCTTTTTTCGTATTGAGTCGCCCAGCCAAGACACTCATCGATCAGCCAGGCGTTGTACAGGAGACTTCCGATTTCCATCTGAGAGCCGTCAGCCGTCAACACTGGGTATTGTTCACTTTAACAAACTGATTCAATTTGTTCAGACTATATTAACTTGACATAACTTGACTATGTAAGCATCACTTCTATAACCTAACCAAAACGTTTTATTATTCACCGATAACCATTCGTGTGACACTTTTCCTTTAACAGCATCATTTACACTCAGTTTCATCGCTTCATCCACAAAACAACATGGTTTTCATGGCTTAAGAAACACAAATTATGTTGTTTTGTGGAAGAACCCATTGATCCATGGTGTTTAATGTTTCTTGATCCATTGATCCATCGCCACCAGCCACGCACCGCCGTGCCGCACCCAAAAGATGCCCGTGGTGAAGGGTACACCGCACTCAGGCGTCAGCAGGGTCATCATGATCCCCACCAAGCCTCGATTCCCGGTGGGGTTTTGCCAACGATGGAGAAATGGGCGGAAAAGTGAGGAGTTCAAGTTCAAGCCAACGTTTTTGTTCATGAACATGTGGATGCTTGTTATTGAAAAAAAACATGATAAATTTTGGGTGATTTCAGGCAACATCTTTGTGATTGTTCACAAACGAAACCTGCGGAAAGAGTTTTGATATCTTTAAAGATTTCACCTGCAAAAAATCGAGAAATTGCGATTTGCTACGGATCAAACATTGGAAGAAACACGGTCTCTTGTGATGTCAGGAGCAATGAAAAACCTGAGTTCACCTGTGAAAAAAAACCAACATCCAACGAATCCAACGAATGGTGGGCAGCAGCTAGCAACACCACACCGCAGCGATTGGTCCAGTTCGATGATGAGATGAACCGACAAGTCATGATGTTCGCAAGTTCTGTGGCTTTCATCACCAAGTTGCTTCCCAAAAACCGTAAAAAAATCTGGATTTGTTTTGCCGATTTGCCAATGGTGAACATCTGGACCGCCCAGCCGGCGTGACGAAAAACTGTCCGAGGAACAAACGAGATGGTGCAAGCGAAAGAGCGGATTCGACCAGCAGAGAGGCAGATCGTTCATGAGATATCCAAAGAAAGCCTGAGTTGGGGCGCCTGAGATATCCCAACTGGTTAAAACAGATGGAATTCGTCCTGGAACCGGAACCTGTCACATCATTTCACTGTGACTGGCGAAGTTCACGGAATTCCCAGTTCATGGAGTCATGGACTATGATAATCCCCATATATTGGATAGTGTAATCAAGTGTACCCTCTGGTAATTTAACATAGCTATTGAAAATCACCATTTTTAATGGGAAATCCACTATTAATGGTCATTTTCAATAGCTACGTTAAATTACCAGAGGGTAATCCCCTAGAATCACCAATCAATAGCAGTTTTGAACGCTCAGTTCGTGGCTGTGAGTCCATCTAGATGAGTTCATCGTAAAGAATCCTGCAATCTGTCATCAATGTTGACCATGAACCATATATATATATTAATATATATATATATATATCATATATCTCTGTAGAACGAGGTGAGGTGTAAGTTTGAACTTCACAGAATAGTTCAATTTAACTATATACAGTAATTGTCAATCAATGGTTCCATCACGAATCACAAGCATACAAATCATTGACTATCGATCAAGGAATATCAATGAATCTAATGTTATCTGGTTGGTGGTTTTAACCATCTTGAAAATATGAGTTCGTCAATGGGAAGGATTGTCCCATATATTCTGAAAATAAAACATGTTTGAAAAACCACCAACCAGCTATTCTATACATAATATTATATAATACATATATATATATATATAATATATAATATGTATATTAGTGCCATGGTCAAAACATGGTACAGTAATGTACAGTATATTATACTTATAGTACTCATGGTCATCCATCCCACAACAGGAATCCAAAAACATCATGGCTATGTAAATTCCCAAGGTCCCCCTATGATTAGTTCACCTCACTTTTGACTCATCGACCACGTGGACTGCGTCCGAGAAGCATAGAGGAACACGCGAACACCAAAGGGATCCCCTGCCTTGAAAACGCTGCCTGGCGCCGGGAAATCCATTTCTCATCCGCGAACACCAGCCGCGAACACCATCCGCGAATCGGAAGTGGTGACCGGATCACAAAAAAAACGGGATCATGTTGCACATAATTCATCCAATTTACACTGGGAACCACGAATGATAGATCATGATAGACCTTACTAACCATGGTTCTTGATGGTTCTCGTACTAACCGTTACGACCACATCATCTAACCAATGAATCACCCACCGACCGATCTGTGGGATGACCCCACCGCTTTGCTTGCGCGCCTTTGGTGTCCAAAAAGGGCGTCGTTTCGCTCCAGTTTCCCCAGGCCAAAAAAATTGCCGAAGGGTACAGCAGCCCTTGAAGGGTCATGGAGATCAGGAACGGACCCAACTCCTCAGCGAAAAACCCTGGCTGGAAAAAAATCGATGAAAAAAACGACATGTTTTTCTGTGGGCAACCCTGGCTGCCATTATGACAACTACCATTTTGGATATGATTGAACTCCCATGAGAATGGTGATGACCTGGGGATAAAGTTTATGGCATTGGTTTTACCACATTCTGTATGTATGTATGTATGTATGTATGTGTATGTGTGTATGTTATGTACGTAATGTTATGTACGTAATGTTATGTACGTAATGTTATGTACGTAATGTTATGTACGTAATGTTATGTACGTAATGTTATGTACGTAATGTTATGTACGTAATGTTATGTACGTAATGTTATGTATGTAATGTATGTAATGTAATGTATGTAATGTATGTAATGTATGTAATGTATGTAATGTATGTAATGTATGTAATGTATGTAATGTATGTAATGTATGTAATGTATGTAATGTATGTAATGTATGTAATGTATGTATGTATGTATGTATGTATGTATGTATGTATGTCTGTGTGTATGTCTGTGTGTGTATGTCTGTGTGTGTATGTCTGTGTGTGTATGTCTGTGTGTGTATGTGTGTGTCTGTATGTATGTATGCATGTATGCATGTATGCATGTATGCATGTATGCATGTATGCATGTATGCATGTATGCATGTATGCATGTATGCATGTATGCATGTATGTATGTATGTATGTATGTATGTACGTATGTATGTATGTATGTATGTATGTATGTACGTATGCAGGTATGCATGTATGCATGTATGCATGTATGCATGTATGCATGTATGCATGTATGCATGTATGCATGTATGCATGTATGCATGTATGCATGTATGCATGTATGTATGTATGTATGTATGTATGTATGTATTTTTGTATGTTTGTTTGTATGTATGTATGTATGTATGTATGTATGCATGTATGCATGTATGCATGTATGCATGTATGCATGTATGCATGTATCTATGTATGAATGTAATAGAATGTGATGTAATGTAATGTAATGTAATGAATTTAATGTATTTAATGTATTAATGTATGTATGACAGAGCATTGCAATACATTGTAGGATATGGATACAGATATATCATTATATAAGAATGATATAGATATATGATACGGCAAATACTACTATACGAATATATCTATTTTGAATCTTATTAATATTGCTTGGACGAAGTTATATCAAATATATTACATATATATATATTATCATCATCTTTTCCTGGTGAAAGTCACCCAAATGGTAAGATATGGTTGGAATGCCATCTATCCTGGCAATTGAACTGAACATCTCCCAACTAGATGCCATTTGTAGATAGCTTTTGGATGTGGCAAAAAGCCAAACCATTGCCAAACCAAATTAGGTCACTTATATGGGTTTGTCTACAGGGTACCCCATTCTATATCTTGGTCAAAGAAGAAAACTCATGGTGCCCCATCCTTTGATGAACTAATATATCAAGGAAAAGTTCGAGACACAAACTCAGATGGGGAGATTCCATATAGAATATATATATGTATATATAGAATATATATATATGTATATATAGAATATATATATATAATATATATATATAGAATATATATATATATAGAATATATATATAATATATATAGAATATATATATATAGAATATATATATATATATAATTATAGAATATATAATATATATATAGAATATATATATATCTAAATATGTGTATATATATACAGTATATATATATATATACCGTGTATATATATATACACATAACTTCAGATCTTCCACATCTACTTGGCCGAGATGATATGCTTCTCCAGTGTTGATTCCGACCCAGCTGACCCAGCTTCGGTGTTCTCGATCTTCACCAAGGCCGTGTCCAGGAAGAAGTCCCTGGGGTCGTCTTTCCCCGCGCCCTGACGCCATCTGCGGTGCTGATTCAGTGGTGCAAAGAGGAGGAAGCCTGCAGCGCACCGGGCTGGGGAGAGAAACCAAAAAAAAAACAGCTGGTTGAAGGGAAGAAATGCAGGGACTCATGGATATTTCTTGGAGTGTCCTGGAATTTCCTATAAATTAAACATAATTAAGCTGGTTATACAGGAAACCATGGGTCAAAGTTAAAGCTGCAGGTGATTCCTACCAAAAATTCAAGGTCTTTTTGGTCCCAAAGGTTCCTTTAAACCTATTTTTGTTGAACCAAGCTGGGGATCGTATTACAACAAAGGAGGTTCATGTAAATTCCTGTACCCAAAAACCTCGATGCTTGCTGTATGATGCTGTATGTATAGGGAACTATAATGTAGAGATACATATATCAACCCATAAAAGAAAGGAGTTCAACCGCAAACATGCGGTTATTAACAACCCATTAATTAAGCACCCATTCGGCTACAGTGAAATGACAGACCCCCAGGGTGAATGACCACTCCGTCCCTGCAGGGAACAGCTTGGGGGGTGCCTTTACCCTGAGTCTCCAATGCGCCTCAAGTAGTGTATCCAAAGTTTACCAAAATCAACCCTGAGTCTTCAATGTATTCACCACTTCAAAACGTCTGATTTGTAGCTAAGGAACAAGGAGGTCGATGTACCAAAAATTACGCTCCACAGGCTTTGAAGGTTGAATGATCTAGGACATGAAGTCAAGAATATCAGCTGGTACGCTGTACTTAGTGATATCTGTAAACTAAGCCCACTTATTATATATAATTTACATATATAATCATATATATATATAATTATGTATATATAATTATGTATGTATATATATATATACTATCCTCCCTTAGTGTTGCCTAGGGACCTTTGCCCCCCTCATTCTATAGGAAAATTAGCTCTATAAAATGAAAAGCTAAGGTGTAGACCCATACATTCTCTCTATGAAATGAGGTGCAAAGCAAAACCATCATGAAAACATACCTGCCTATATTATGACCCAACTTCTTTTGCAAAGGTTAACAGTGATATTGACCACAGCAAAAATATAGTCTATAAAATGTTACTGCTCAAGTTGGAGGGGGTAGTTGGGATGTAAGACAAACGCCCAACAAGTCAGCTATAAAATGGAATTAGGAAGATTATGAAATAGCTCCTGTAATACTCTGCGTCCTGTACAAGCTTTGCATGGCATTTTATAGGTGGCAGTTTGGGTGTGCAGCATTCACTCTGCGGTCTGTACAAGCTTTGCATGGCATTTTATAGGTGGTAGCTTGGGTGTGCAGCATTCACTCTGCGGTCTGTACAAGCTTTGCATGGCATTTTGTAGGTGGTAGCTTGGGTGTGCAGCATTCACTCTGCGGTCTGTACAAGCTTTTGCATGGCATTTTATAGGTGGTAGCTTGGGTGTGCAGCATTCACTCTGCGGTCTGTACAAGCTTTGCATGGCATTTTATAGGTGGTAGCTTGGGTGTGCAGCATTCACTCTGCGGTCTGTACAAGCTTTGCATGGCATTTTATAGGTGGTAGCTTGGGTGTGCAGCATTCACTCTGCGGTCTGTACAAGCTTTTGCATGGCATTTTATAGGTGGTAGCTTGGGTGTGCAGCATTCACTCTGCGGTCTGTACAAGCTTTGCATGGCATTTTATAGGTGGTAGCTTGGGTGTGCAGCATTCACTCTGCGGTCTGTACAAGCTTTGCATGGCATTTTATAGGTGGTAGCTTGGGTGTGCAGCATTCACTCTGAGGTCTGTACAAGCTTTGCACGGCATTTTATAGGTGGTAGCTTGGGTGTGCAGCATTCACTCTGCGGTCTGTACAAGCTTTGCATGGCATTTTATAGGTGGTAGCTTGGGTGTGCAGCATTCACTCTGAGGTCTGTACAAGCTTTGCATGGCATTTTATAGGTGGTAGCTTGGGTGTGCAGCATTCACTCTGCGGTCTGTACAAGCTTTGCATGGCATTTTATAGGTGGTAGCTTGGGTGTGCAGCATTCACTCTGCGGTCTGTACAAGCTTTGCATGGCATTTTATAGGTGGCATTTGGGTGTGCAGCATTCACTCTGCGGTCTGTACAAGCTTTGCATGGCATTTTATAGGTGGTAGCTTGGGTGCAGCATTCACTCTGCGGTCTGTAACACACTGTACAAGTTTTGCGGCAATTTTTGCTTTCTTACTTTCATGGCATCGAAAAGGTCTCGCCTTTGCAGCTTAATAAGAAATACTTAAAAAAAACAGGCTACCAAAACCCTGTCATTGCCTCTTTTCTGTCGGGTAACACAAGAAGGGGGAAGCCCCAGCGGCTCGAGGACTTCGACCCGGAAAGGCCCCAAGGGGGAAGGCTATAGGGGAGAGACACAGCGGAAAAGCCGCAACAAGAAAGTGAAACATGTCATATTTAAATGCATAAACTGCATAAACAGGAAAAGGTACTTTTGTAACGTTTGAAAATTAAAAATGATATTTTATGGGCTCTTTACTTTTTGATATGTGTATTCTTATAATATGTTTAATTGTGAGTTAAAAATATCTATACAACAAATTAAGACAAATGTTGTACCTGAAGAATTAATATTGTAGAACATATATATTATCAATGTTGAATATAATCAAAGTGAAGAAATATATATTATAAACATTTCAAATATTATAGATCATATACCATTAGCAATGCCATTAAATGAAAAAAACTTCATTTTTTTCGTGAATTTGAATATGTGCTGCAATATGCTTATTTTATATGCATTTTTTATGCTACAGAAGATGCCAGATAGAATGTCAAAATATGTCTCAGAGAAAATGTCAGATAACATGTCAGAATATTGATTCTAATATACTCTAATAATGTAATTTTTCCAAAGTCTTGGGACAAAGGTAAAGAAAGGAAAATTGGTTGAACACTAAATGCGGTCTGTACAAGCTTTGCATGGCATTTTATAGGTGGTAGCTTGGGTGTGCAGCATTCACTCTGCGGTCTGTACAAGCTTTGCATGGCATTTTATAGGTGGTAGCTTGGGTGTGCAGCATTCACTCTGCGGTCTGTACAAGCTTTGCATGGCATTTTATAGGTGGTAGCTTGGGTGTGCAGCATTCACTCTGCGGTCTGTACAAGCTTTGCATGGCATTTTATAGGTGGTAGCTTGGGTGTGCAGCATTCACTCTGCGGTCTGTACAAGCTTTGCATGGCATTTTATAGGTGGTAGCTTGGGTGTGCAGCATTCACTCTGCGGTCTGTAACACACTGTACAAGTTTTGCGGCAATTTTTGCTTTCTTACTTTCATGGCATCGAAAAGGTCTCGCCTTTGCAGCTTAATAAGAAATACTTATAAAAAAAGCAGGCTACCAAAACCCTGTCATTGCCTCTTTTCTGTCGGGTAACACAAGAAGGGGGAAGCCCCAGCGGCTCGAGGACTTCGACCCGGAAAGGCCCCAAGGGGGAAGGCTATAGGGGAGAGACACAGCGGAAAAGCCGCAACAAGAAAGTGAAACATGTCATATTTAAATGCATAAACTGCATAAACAGGAAAAGGTACTTTTGTAACGTTTGAAAATTAAAAATGATATTTTATGGGCTCTTTACTTTTTGATATGTGTATTCTTATAATATGTTTAATTGTGAGTTAAAAATATCTATACAACAAATTAAGACAAATGTTGTACCTGAAGAATTAATATTGTAGAACATATATATTATCAATGTTGAATATAATCAAAGTGAAGAAATATATATTATAAACATTTCAAATATTATAGATCATATACCATTAGCAATGCCATTAAATGAAAAAAACTTCATTTTTTTCGTGAATTTGAATATGTGCTGCAATATGCTTATTTTATATGCATTTTTTATGCTACAGAAGATGCCAGATAGAATGTCAAAATATGTCTCAGAGAAAATGTCAGATAACATGTCAGAATATTGATTCTAATATACTCTAATAATGTAATTTTTCCAAAGTCTTGGGACAAATGTAAAGAAAGGAAAATTGGTTGAACACTAAATGCGGTCTGTACAAGCTTTGCAAGGCATTTTATAGGTGCCAGTGTGGGTTTCAAAATGTTTTGAATTTGTTTTAATGTTTTTTTTGGTGATCCCCCTGCCCCCCCATTCTTGTCAATCTATGACGTCTCAAAATAAATCAAACATTCTTTGAAAACATCAAAACCAACAAATGTTCAACATAAATATAAATATAAATACATATATATATATATCAATAGAATTTAGTATCACAAAAAATGGTGCACCATGCTCTACTTAGCACAACCATATACCTATAAAATGAGGACAATTTCTTTGCAAAGGTCAGCGGGGTGTCTAAAATAAAATTTGATTCACCAAACCGTTTGGCACCTATAAAGTGAAGGGATTTTCTTTGCAAAAGTTTATGCTTGAAAAATGAAGAGTTTGCAAGTAGGCAGTGCGGGCCTTATAAAATGATGAACCCAACTCTTGCAAAAGGAGGCCACAGTGCACCCCAACCATCCTTCCTATATAATGGCTGTCCGGAAAACCATTTCATAATTGTAAAAGATCCCCATTCTATAGGCTATCACCGGCCGGGGATTATATACTTATATATATAGTATATGCTTATACCTGGCATTCACTGGGTATATAGTCTACTTCCAATTCGTCGGAACGCAGAATTCGTCGCCTACCGAGCTCGTCAAAGCGCAACCCAGCAGAATTTCACTCTCCATGGCGCAGATCAGGGTTGAACCAGTTGATAACTTGGTAAGTTCACCTGTTCACGATTCGGTCACAATGTTTGGTAACATTTATAGGTTTGTCTGAAAACAGGGTAGCCCTAAATCTATTGGTTGATGGTCATTGTCCCTATTTCAATGGCTATTTGGGGATATACCCCATTTTCAGACAACCCCATTTATCAATGTTTTAAGTGATCAGGGTTGAACCAAGTAGTTGATATCAGGGTTGCACAAGTTTTCCTATGTTTAAACCACTTGGTAACTCCATCTACGAATCTACTACCAGCTTTTGCAATTTAGTATTATTAATATGTTCATAGATATTTGATTCCGGTCTGACAAGTATCTCTTTATCATTCTATCAGGCTTGGACTACCAAAGAAACTCCTCAGCGTCACTCCTTGGAGCTTGGAGGATCCAAGATTTTGAGGATGGCTAAGCTGGGACAAAAACGTAGGCCCAAGCGAAACACCATTAAACATCCCATTGTTAAAACATGTTTAACACCCTTATCCCATAAAAGATGTACCCTATTCTTTCAACAATTGTATGAGATGTACCCTAACCCATATAAGTACCCTAACCCTTATCCCATCTTATCCCAATAATTTGTTGGGGTGATATTCACCACGGTACTGGGAGTGACCCATGACCCATGACATCCCAGGGCGGACCTTGCGCCACCACGAAGGAAAACCTGGCCCAGAGGGTCACAGCTTTGATGTTGGGAGTCCTCAAGATCTGTGGATTGAGATACAAAATTCTACAGGAATGTAATACGAATATTATATGATATGATATTATATGATATAATATAATATTATAATATATATATATATATGTAAATAAGATGTGTTTCCGCTTCTAGTTGGGAGATGCTTTTAGATTCTAGTGCCCTCCACAAGACTTCTAGAAATCTTTGTGAGATATAAACTGATATGACATATTCCTCGATCAAGATCACCTAAAACAAACCCTTCAATCAACCAAATCAAGGCATCTCAAGGTTTCTATACCCAGTTCAGAAGCCGAAAATCCTGACTGCTAAAGCTCCTCACTGAGTTGCTGACCCCCTTACTAAAGAACCACTCATGGGCCAAATGCAAGAACGTCTGGGGAATCGGAATGGCACACATTCAGGTGGTAGTGCTGATGTACTGTCTTGTCAACCCTAGATTAACAACCCAAGAGTTGACTGATACGTGGGGTATCATGGCTCAACCATCCTAAATCCACAGTCACCACCTTCACCCATGATACAAACGGATGATGCACGCCCTGGGGGCCCTAGACAGTCTAAATCGAGCACTAATCAACTCAGTTGCCATTAGAAAACATTTCTACAGTGGATTTCTGGATATTTCTGGCCATCCTCACCATTTCTGGCCATCATTTTCTTTGGTTTTCTGGAACCCCCTTGGTGAAATCGCAGTTTTTCACACTAGTGCTATCCCTGGCTTGGGCCTCTCTCCAGGCGAGGGCCAAGTCGAGCCACTGCGCCGCACCGCCTGCCGTGGATCATACCCAACAGAGGGCTGTCAAAGCCACAGGAATCGACGATCGATGATGAATTTTGGATGATTTTGGTATGGAATGAATTGGAGTGATATCTCATGGATGATTGTCGAATTTCTTGGGGATGTTCCACACCCACATCCACAGATCACACCTCAACCCCGACACGTTCTCCAGGACAAAATAATGGCCCTTTGAATGACATCACCATAGCTGCAGAGTGGCAAGCCATGCCTGCGCCGCAAGTGGGCCCTGCCCTTTGTATTCGTCTGGAGCTCTTACCTGGCGCCGGTGAAGATGGGCGACGCTGCTTGTGATGAATTCATCAGGCATGAAATGAGCAGTCTGTTGTAGTCTATTGACTATGGACTGTTCTTATTGATTCTCACTGATTGTTGTGGAAATGTGAAGGAACTATTTTGATTGTATAAATATATATATATATACAAAAATCAGCTTTGCTCTGATCTAAAGAGGGGTGGTTTTGTGGCCAACACGTTGGTACCCAAACACTCGTGTCCATGGGCGTCCTTTAAAATTCAGAAACGGGTACACCAATGAGAGAAAATGTGTGAAAATGCGGTGATTTTCCAATGTTTCTAAACCAAACAAGTTTGGTCATATCTTGGTCCTATTTTCACCTCAACCAGGGACAGCTGCGTTGGTTGATCTTCGCTCCTCGTGATGAAAAATGAAGTCCTTGACAGTGAAGCGCCCTTCTCGAATCCTTCCAAGGTGGGCGGTTCTCCAGTTTCCGGGGCAAATGGAAGTCATGGCATACCCAAATGCCGAACAGTTAGCACATCTGCAAGTCGGTTGTCTGCATGATGGACCAACCCTGTTAACACACTGCAAGAGAGGTGCACTTCAAAAGCTCTACAGATCTGTTGTCATTCATTGGCGCAACATGCTAACTGCTAACGGCATCATAATGTGAATCTTACTTGGAGGTCTTAGTCTTCCAAGTATGTTAAAGTATAATACAAAAGTTGGCCTCAACAAAACCCTTACAGCTTGCAGCTTGCAGTTTTGATGCGTATTCGACACAATTTGAAAGCTCACCGCTCCTATCCACATGCTGTCGGATGAATTGCCTCAGGAAAATCATGGAAAAAACATGTTCAACTCATTTGGAACTACAAGAACAGCATCTCTATCATCTGCTGGTTGATTGCCTCTCTTACTTGAATCCCAACAGTTGGTGGGTTCCCCCCAAAAAAGGGATAGACATCGGTCGAAAACGAGTTGTTCTCAAGGTCACCCTCAAAATCACCTTCCAAGCCCTGAGGTGCAAACTTCAACCTTGAGAGGTCTCCCTTCGACTCGAAGAAGACCTGCGGCGTGTGAAAGATCCCGGGAGCGCCGGAGTAGCACCTTGAGTTGAACAATTCCTATACTTTCAACTTAAATTCAAGGGTCAAAAAATAGATCATTTAAAGCAACAACAATTCGCAAACATCGATCTTTGTACACCATTTTTTTGGTAAATCCCGTCAAAAATCCTCAGCTGTTCGGGCCACGGCCTCCAAGGCCCCTCGCAGCAAGTTCTGCGTGGCGGCGCACTGGTCACGCCCTGAGACACAAAAGGAGATTAATGGACATTAATGGTACCTCTTGTTAATGGTGATTCATGCTGATTGTATCTGATTATGATAAATGCATATAAATTCATATAAATGTTATCTATCATTACCCATGAAACAATCAATCAACTACTTTATCTGCCTGCAAATTGCGCCAAAATCAGGTCTGCAGATCTTGTAAAGCCCTAAAATATCCTAAAATCATGTTGAGGGAATTTGAGGGAGGTGCTTAAAGCAAACATGGTGGAAATCAGTCGGTTGACCAAAATCATGAATGAAGTATATCCAGGATTATCCAGGATCATCCAGGTATCAATGCGATGAATGCATGCAAGCTGTCAGCTTGTCCGCACGCGATGTGCAGCCAAGATGGTGATTCTACACGGTGTACGGCAAAAAAAAAAGACAGGCATATGAGTCACATCATGGAACATCATGGAACATGGTTCCAGCTCTTAATGGACTGGTATGTAGATGTATGTAGTAACACCCACAAGAAGTACCAATAAGAGAGGTTTGGTCGCAACACATCACCTCCTTGGGATCACTAGCATGGGAAGGGCTAGTGCAGGGGCACCAATGGACCGACAAAAGCGGCAATTCCGTGAAAACATCAGTTTGAGCACTAGCAAATTGTTCACTAATCAAAATAGGTCCCAGAATCCCAATATTATTTGACACTTCCTTCTAGGACCCCATGCGAATCGTCTCGATTCCTTTGGCGTCAAAGACGGGAGCCACCTGAGCATGGACACAACAGTTGTTTGGTAGCATTCAATGGCGGAGAATGAAATCAGGCTCTGTGATATCACCATGTTTTTTTTTGGAAAAATATTTACAGTATATAGCATAGAAATGTCGAAATCACAATCACAAATGAATCGACTATCCTAAGATATCCTAAGATATCCTAAGTATGTTGTTAGCCAATTTGTTCTTCTTTAAGCATGCCCCCCTTCTGTCATATTGGCGAACTGAGGCTCGCGCGTCACCTGGAGATGACCATGCATGGCCGACATAACCTCAGTGCAGCTTTGGGCGACCCAATTCTCGAAAGGAAATCCCATGAGATCTCCGAAAAAAGTCTAAGTTTCCCTCAGCAAAGTGATATGATATGATATGATTCCCTTAACCGACAGCAAAGTGACCTTAAGGTTAGACCAACGACCAACACCTGGATATACTTCCGCTTGTCACACCATCAGGGCACCAGGCGTTTCTTGGAGACCAAGCAACAAGGCCTTGGTCAGGTTGTGTTTCAATATGTTTAATGGGTCAGCAACGCTTTATGCTGAGTTAAACATTGATTGAAGATAATGCATTGGCTTAAACATTGCTATATAGTTCACTTATGATCATTGTAAAACATTATAAAACATTGAACATGATGATCAGAATCATGATGTATTTGTTGATGCAATGGAAGCTTGCTGAAATACGAGGAACATCGAGGAACCAACAAGTGCCAGAATGCTTGGTTTTGGCTGGACAAGGGCAAAGGTTGGAGTTGGGAGTATCCCAGCTTCGCCTCTGGGGGAATGCACGTTTTTACTCCGTGTGACCGTTTCACCGAGTTGGAAGCTGATTTAATGACAATGTGACACATGCTGAAGGAGACTCCGAAGAACTTCGAGAAGTTGAAGGGAAAACATTCTAAAGAGGCCCCGCTCTAGGCAAGGGAATATGTGCAGCAAACGACATTCAACATCTAGAAATCCAACTTCTTGAGGGCATCCTTCAGCGTCTTGCTCAATGCAGTTAGCTTCACTCCATCCTTTTCAAAATCTGATAGCCCCTCTTGCGCAGCTCGCAAGCGGTCTACAGATTTGTCATTCAACCACTTTGCTGCAAACGCTGGAGTTCGCAACTTGAGATCTTTGGGTTTAGACAAAACAGAGACCAAGTACGTTTCTGCAAATGCAGGGTCTGCCACGACCTCCAGTTTTTTCATTGCTTGATATGCTGAAGCAATGTCCTCCAAGGAGGCTGAATCGTATGCCCCAATCAAATTTGTGAAGACTATCAAATTTGGAGTCACGCCCACTTGTGGACAGAGATCAAAAAAGTATTTTGCTGCCTTGTGACGATTCTTGCCCCAGCCCCAACAAGCACGGATCGCTGAGGACATATGGTGCACATCAATAGAGATTTCTTTCTTTTCCATCAAATCCAGCACTTTCTCGGCTGTCTCAGGGTCACCTGCATCTGCTGCGGCAGCAATAAATACGTGCAGATGCTAGAACTGAAGAAAATTCGCATTCCTCCAATGCTTCAGCCCAAACTTGCCTGACCACACCATCTTCCCGCAGTTTGCCAAAAATTCTCAAAGCCTGCACATAGACTGGTGCATGAACCTTCTTGCATCTCTTTCTGCACTGCTGATATACTTTGGCACCTTCCCTATACTGCCGACACCGAAAAGCGGCATGCAACACAGCCGAGAAGACTGGAGGGGCAACTCCTGTGTAGTTTGAGAATAAGGACTTTGCTGTAGTCCACTTCCCTTCCTTGCCCGCACTTGAAATGATTCCCATGAGTTTTTTCTCTTGAGGAGCCAATGGAAAGTTTCCCACCCCGCTGGCGCTGACTGAAAGTGCTTGTCCAGCACGTTCACGGACCGTGCGCAATGGCTCTTGCCTTGATTGCGCAAAGTCAAACCCACTGAAACCGAAGCAAACTGTGGTCAGCGCACCAAAGAGAGTGAGGAGATTCCATTTACGCTGCCCAATTGTGGGAATTGCCATGGGACTTGCCATGGCTTCAAGTGCAATAATGCTGACCTAAGGAACCTTGAAGAAGAAGCATCCCCCAATAGCTTTGACCAACCACCGTTACTGCTTTAGCAAATCTAGAAAGGACCTTAAAACACGACGTGTGACTTGTCGACAGGATCATCTTGAGGCAAATGGCTGCGTCCTGAAATTAAATAGCCACCAGTCCATCTTTCGCAATGATTCTCAAGTTGAATCGAAGTCGCAGCCTGTTTTCCGTTCAACAGAAGGGAAAAGAGTGTTTTGCACTGATTTGGGCCAACAAAAATACTGTATGAATGTTGCCTTGAATTTGTGCATGCACTGCTTTCCGTCTTGAAGCAACGAAGTCGCACTCTGCGCCTCTTTGCTCTTCAGAAGCGACACTCAGAGTCTCACATTTGTACATCGGTGGCTAGGCTGATGCGTGCTGCTTGCCACAACAGTCTAAGCTACCATCAAGCAAGCTCTAAATGCCGAGTTTGTCCAGTGCCTTCTTGACATTCCTACTTAGCCTTGTCAGTTTCACTCCATCTCTTTCAAAATTTGACAGAGCCTCTTTAGCAATCTTCAAACGCTCAAGAGGTCTGCCACTCAGGAATTTTGCGGTGGATTCGTGGTTGTACGACTTGATCACGTCGTCTTCAGCCACAACAGACAGCAAGTAAGTCTCAGCGAAGGCTTCATTCGGGGTAATATTGAGGCCTCTCATTGCATGATATGTGGAAGTAAGGTCTTCAAGAGGGGCTGTCTTGTATGCCCCAATCAAATTTGTGAAGACTATCAAATTCGGTTTCACACCTAATCGCGGGCACAGATCATAGAAATATGTGGCCGCCTTGTGACGATTCTTGCCCCAGCCCCAACAAGCACGGATCGCGGAGGACATATGCAGCACATTGATGGGATTCCTTTCTTTTCCATCAAATCCAGCACTTTCTCGGCTGTCTCAGGGTCACCTGCATCTGCCGCGGCAGCAATACGAGCAGATGCAAGCACAACATTCAGATCAGACTTTTGCAGCACTTCATCCCAGACTTTGCACACCATATCATCTTCTCTTAGTTTACCAAAGATTCTGAGAGCATCCACATAGACTGGTTCATTGATATACTTGCATCTTTGCCTGCATTGCTCGTATAATCGGGCCCCTTCCCTATACTCTCGACATGTGAAGGCCGCATGCAAGGCTGCCGAGTACACTGGCGGAGCATCTCCTGTATATGTGTCAAATAGGTACTTTGCTGCCATCCAGTTTCGGTCCTTTCCAGCACTTGAAATCTCCGTAAGGAGACGTTTGTCTTCACAAGTCAATGTGAAGTTTACCATCCCCGCTGCACTGGCGTGCCATGCTTCTCCACTACGTTCACGTTCAGCCCCTAGCGGCGCTTGCCGTGGCTGCGCAAAGCACAGTCCAGGGAGAGCGACGCACAGGATCGTCAGCACACCGGCAGCGCAGATCAGTCGGCGCTTGCGCTGCCCAGCTGCCAGGCTTACCATGGCGTTGGTGCTTTTGAAAGCTTCGCTGACTCAAATTTCAAGCAGCATCTAGTAATTTCAACCTATCTCGCTGCGGATCATCATCCCAAATACCCTTTAAAATAAGACAGCTATAGACAGTTTAGACATACCGCTTATGGCTCTTGCCTTCAGAAGCTTAGCAAGACCCTCAAGTCCTGAAGCATGTGATGTTTAGACTGGATCAGCTTCGATAAAATCGTTTGGGCCACCAGACGGCCTTCAGTGATGATGGTAATCGAGTCTGTCAACACTTTGGGACCCTGTGGCAATCCAACCTGGAGATGGAAAGTGCATGAAATGTTCTGACGTCATCTTATACCAGTATCATCTTATATCTGTCCAGTATCCTATTAAATATGGGGATTCCCCACTACCATGTTCGATTGAAGGGTAATAAGTGGTACTGGTAATGTACGATCTGACTCATACCATAACCAAACAGCCAGAGGTTGAGTGACCCACCTCAAAGATTACAGTAACTGTATGTTATTACAGTATACAAACGTTAGTTACACGATGTTGCACGAACCTTTTCTCAATCCACTGAGAAACCTTACATGAAAAGTAGTACTACCAGGTCGCATCATTACCTGGATATCAAGCTTCACTCAGCTCTTTTGATGTGCCAAGCGGCCAATACACTTTGTCCATCTGCAGTTCCACAGGTCTTGGGTTCTGTCGCGTCACCTCTGTGGGGGTCCCACTTCGTTTGGGTGGGATAGGATGGTGATACATGGTGATACCATGGTTCACACCTTCAGGTAAATATGCTGCATGATCAAATTTAAGTCTGCCATACAGATCTACAGGGTGACTCCAGGCAAACTCTGGAAAGACAGTGTTCAAGGGACATTGCCGAACTCTGAAGCTCTACGTTCACCCAGTGGGCCCTGCCTGTTTCGCGATTTCAGCACCCACTTCGAAGGCTTGCTCCTTTCAGGGCTCAGCTTTGACGTGTACCGATGGAACAGGACCGGAGAAGCTTGGCAGATTCCATGCAGCGATTCAACTTACCATTGTTGCATAGAAAACGACATAAAGCGGCTAGCTCCATTTTCAAGTTTGATCAAGTTATCTTTGATATATAGATAATATTCCCTGCCTCTCACAAATGGATACAAATGGAGGGATCCTTGCATAATCGATCGGATTGTCGCACCGACCGCACCGAAACACATTCAGGCAATTTGACCAACAGAAACACGGTGATTTACTCAGGAAATTACATTCTGAACAAAACCATATATGATAATATATGTCGTTGCATCACATCATCAAACAAATTGGAAAAGACAAAATTTACCCACAGGAAGCCCCCCGCCTGTTCTGCTTGTTGGTAAAATATCTGCGAGCGTATTCTGCGAAAATAGATCCACCCTAAATGAAACAGTTCGTTTATATAGATAGGTTGTGTACTGTGTACCAACAGAAACCATCAGAAAGCCATCGTGAATCAGCAATGAATCCACATTCTTGTTGATTGAAACCTGATTTTTCCTGGCTACCTGGCTACCCTCTGGTAAACTAACATAGCTATGGAAAATCACCATGTATCATGTCTAGCTATATGAATGTTAGTCATTACCATATAGGGTAAATTCCCAGCGAAGATCTGGGATTCGGTCCCGGTGATTTGGTGGCCGATCGTCCCAGTGGGATGGGACGGGACGGGACTCCTTGGAGCGGTTCGGCAATCTGACGAACATGGAATCGGTGTCCCCGTAGAGCACCTGGCATCAATCGACTCAAGGGCTATCCCGTGAGTCTCCATAGGGTGACTGTACACGATGTCTCAAGTAGAAATGTAGAAACCAGAAAACTCCAACTACAGTGGGCTTGGATGTTTCAATGGTCAACTCTAGCTAACATGGCATTGAAGCATCGAAATCGATTGTTTAACAAACAAATTAAACTCTAGTGATTGTTCCCCTCAAATGGCTAAAGCTTCCCCCATCAAAACCCAACAGGTCACCTATTCACCCAGCAAAAGGGAAAATAGGAACACTTCGAACCTCAAGACACAGGGATTGTCTCTGCCATCAAACCCCCAAAAGGGGCCCGGTGGTTTGATCTCACGAATTGCTGCGAAAAAGACTGGCAGTTGTACCAGTGAACCATGGTGAACCATGATCTTCAAGAATCCTGGTTGTTCACATCTAGCTGGTGGATGTTCATCCCACATCTAGCTGATGGGAAAATCACAGGACTCTTGACATGTCCCCATGTTTCATCTCCAAAACATGGCAGGTTCATGGCCACCATGATATTTAAGTCCTATAGTGGTGTGTAGATATTTGTAGTCTATCAAAAAAATCCTCAAATGATGGTACCTTTACATCCGGATGCTTTGTATGTATGGTCTCACTTCATTTTTCCGAATAAACGATCACCACCTTGGGTGATTTCAAATCCTTGAAGATATTCGTCGTTGGGGATCATGCCAAATGGGGGTTTCCTAAAATGAGGGTATCCCAACATGGTTGGTTTATAATTTATAATGGAACATCCCATCGAATTATCCCATTAAAATGGATGATTTAGCTGGGGTATGCCATGAAAATCCCTGAAAATGGCAAGAAAATCCATGAAAATCCCAAGAAAATCCATGAAAATCCCATGACTTAGGAAACCTCCATAAATAACTTTGAAGATGGTCGCCATTTTACAACCGCTAAAACCCTGACAGCCCCTCATGACAGCTCACCTCTGCGCCCGGAATTTCGCGCTCCACCCAGCGGACCGCTCGCTCCAACGTGCGCCTCCCAGGTTTGGATCAATCCAAAGACATCCAAAATGGAATGGCCTATTTTGGAGGTACCCTCTGGTAAACTAACATAGCTATTGAAAATGGCCATAGAAATAGTGGATTTTCCCATTAATAGCATGGTGATTTTCCATAGCTATGTTAAATTACCAGAGGGTAAGATCATAAGGTACATGCTATTTTCATACCAAAAACATATTAGAATAAGAAGATTAATGCAGTACCCTCTGGTAAATAAACAGTTCGACCCTGAAAATCACCAATTGTTAGAGGAAACTAATCTTCCAATTCCTGTCTGCCAGGGTCTATGTTAATTTACCAGAGGGTAAGATCATAAGGTACATGCTATTTTTATACAAAAAAATATTAGAATAAGAAGATCAATGGATATATTATTTATATCATGCACATATAATACAATTAATTGGATTACCGGATGACACACATGAATGCTATCTGGTAATGATGTTCCTATTGCAATTGGGATCAATTTGGTGGTTATCCAATTATGTTCCTTGGCTTTCGGCAAGACACTGTGGTAAGCTGGTAATCTCCCAAATCAGCACAAAGAGATGCTGAGGGACTGCAGGAATGCCGACGGACGTTTGACATTTCAAGTCGCAATAGAAACGCGCTTTAAATGAATACAGTATATCAAAAAACAACAATCAGAAGTCTGATGAGAATAACAATAATGATGGTGCCAGTGAAACAAATATCATAACAATACTGATAACAAGAACAATCATGATTGTAACCATACTTACAAATAGCTACAGGAATACATAAATGCATTCGCTTTACGATGGCAGCCGGCTGCACCTGGCAGTTTGCACAATGGCGTCGGCCAAGTCGACACAAGGCATCCTGCAGTTCTGGTGGATGGTGTCATCCCAGACTGGGACTGGGACCATTAAGGACTGTTTTCGCTACCTTTTAAGCCATGGTTCCTTTTGGGGTTCTCAAAAAAGGCTTCAAATTCGGGTGAACGGATCTTGTTTTCGTTTGGTGGTTGGTCACGGTTTCCTGTCAACCATGGGCTTTTGGATGGTTTGAAACGATGGGCTGAAGACAAACTCAGCCAATCAGGACCTGCCAACCAAAACAGCACCGCCTGAAATACTCTTAAGATTAAACGGCGATCTCACTCGGTCTAGACTTCGGTTAAATCCACTGCCAAAGGTCAAACTCTGCAGATGTTTGGCAAAGCCACTCGCTCCAAGCTTTGGTTGAATGCAAAACCAAAGGTCAAACTCTGCAGATTGTTTGGCAAAGCCACTCCCTCCAAGCTTTGGTTGAATCCATCACCAAAGGTCAAACTCTGCAGATTGTTTGGCAAAGCCACTCCCTCCAAGCTTTGGTTGAAATCTCTGCCGAAGGTCAAACTCTGCAGATTGTTTGGCAAAGCCACTCGCTCCAAGCTTTGGTTGAACTCCCAGCCAAATGTCAAACTCCGCAGATTGTTTGGCAAAGCCACTCCCTCCAAGCTTTGGTTGAAATCTGTGCCGAAGGTCAAACTCGGCAGATTGTTTGGCAAAGCCACTCGCTCCAAGCTTTGGTTGAAATCTCTGCCGAAGGTCAAACTCTGCAGATTGTTTGGCAAAGCCACTCCCTCCAAGCTTTGGTTGAATCCATGGCCAAAGGTCAAACTTTGCAGATTGTTTGGCAAAGCCACTCCCTCCAAGCTTTGGTTGAAATCTCTGCCGAAGGTCAAACTCTGCAGAGTGTTTGGCAAAACCACTCGCTCCAAGCTTTGGTTGAATGCAAAAACAAAGGTCAAACTCTGCAGATTGTTTGGCAAAGCCACTCGCTCCAAGCTTTGGTTGAATCCATCACCAAAGGTCAAACTCTGCAGAGTGTTTGGCAAAACCACTCGCTCCAAGCTTTGGTTGAATGCAAAACCAAAGGTCAAACTCTGCAGATTGTTTGGCAAAGCCACTCGCTCCAAGCTTTGGTTGAACTCCCAGCCAAATGTCAAACGCGGCAGATTGTTTGGCAAAGCCACTCGCTCCAAGCTTTGGTTGAAATCTCTGCCGAAGGTCAAACTCTGCAGAGTGTTTGGCAAAACCACTCGCTCCAAGCTTTGGTTGAATGCAAAACCAAAGGTCAAACTCTGCAGATTGTTTGGCAAAGCCACTCCCTCCAAGCTTTGGTTGAATCTATTCCCAAAGGTCAAACTCTGCAGATGGTTTGGCAAAGCTACTCGCTCCAAGCTTTGGTTGAATCTATTCCCAAAGGTCAAACTCTGCAGATTGTTTGGCAAAGCTACTCGCTCCAAGCTTTGGTTAAATCTATTCCCAAAGGTCAAACTCTGCAGATTGTTTGGCAAAGCTACTCGCTCCAAGCTTTGGTTGAATCTATTCCCAAAGGTCAAACTCTGCAGATTGTTTGGCAAAGCCACTCGCTCCAAGCTTTGGTTGAATCCATCACCAAAGGTCAAACTCTGCAGATTGTTTGGCAAAGCCACTCCCTCCAAGCTTTGGTTGAAATCTCTGCCGAAGGTCAAACTCTGCAGATTGTTTGGTAAAGCCACTCGCTCCAAGCTTTGGTTGAATCCATGGCCAAAGGTCAAACTTTGCAGATTATTTGGCAAAGCCACTCGCTCCAAGCTTTGGTTGAAATCTCTGCCGAAGGTCAAACTCTGCAGAGTGCTTGGCAAAGCCACTCGTTCCAAGCGTTGGTTGAACTCAAGGCCAAATGTCAAACTCTGCAGATTGTTTGGCAAGGCCACGCCCTTCAAGCTTTGGTTGAATTCACCGCCAAAGGTCAACAATTCAACGCTTTTGGGGAGAAAGGGCACATACTCAGCTAAGATTAGGCCTTCTATCCGCGTTACTCCTTCTAATGCAAATTCTTCCTCTGAGACTGGGAAGCCTTGAACATAGCTCCATGCAGCAAATAGATCTGCTGGAACATACGTGCAGGACACTGTCGCAGCCTTTCCCGCAATGCCCTGTTCTTTTAATGTTTGGTGAAGGATTAGCTGTGATGCAAGATGGTGAAGGACAAGTCTTGTCCCTCTCTTTGATGCAAGAATGGAACCACTGAATCTCAAAGTGCAACCTTCACCATTGAGGCATATCACGTCAAGCTCAATGATTTCACATCCTGCTCCAACATAGCCACAGGAAGCCTCGGCATCGCACGGTTTCTGCCTATTCTGAATTTGCTACGTACCGGGCTGTGACCCAAAAAGAGCCACAGTGCTGCTGTGGCAATGGACAATTCCAGTACATGGAGGTTTGAAGATTGAGAGGAAAAGTCATCTATCAATGGGGAGATTTCCCCTTTGCCATGTTTGATTCCTGGAGATTTCCTGGATATGAGCAGTCCCGGTCAATGGTCCCGTCGCCTGGAAATTCTGGCCCATTCTGACCCAGCGTTTCATGGTCAATTGTCAATCTGCCCTTTCATTGACCACTTCAGACTTTCAGACTGGGTCCAAGCCCCATTATTTGTCCATGTAGCAAGAGGTCACAGTATATAGTACTCATAGAGTTTTGAACAGCGATGGCTTGGTCTGAAAATTCAAAAATACTTCAAAATCTGATGCAGCTCATCATTTTTCCCATCATTTTTCCCATCATTTTTCCCATTCTCCCCATTGAAAATGTCCCATCACTTGGCTTCTTCGCCTGCCACTGAAGGAGGCTCCTGTGTAGCCATACGTGACCTCGTTCCATGGGGTTCCCATGCTGCAGCTATGGATTTAGCCACTTGAAAATGGTGCACTGCTATGGAAAACAGATGACAAAAAGCTCATGTATAGATACCATCTGGTAGGGTAGGGAAGATGATGTTCTAAAGCATCGAATTACGGTGAAAGCTACTTCCAAACAAAGCCTCATGATCTCCCAAACAAGTCTGTACTTGCATAATCTTCATCATCCCACAAGCAACTCGCCAATATCAGAACTATTCAGATCATGAGATTCGGCAAAACCCTGCTATCGCAAGCAAGATGAAATCGTCCAGGAAGCACCGCAAAACCATCATGTTGCTTAATTTTAGTGATAATCTCTAGGTGTTTAGTGTCTACCCGTCTACCCCAAAATAAACCCTGCACAATTTTTTGAAACGAAGTTTCTAACCCTGCCAAATTTGGAAACGATGTTTCTGTTCCAAAACATATCGTTTGAGTAACCCGAGTAGGTCCATTTCCGCAATGGGGATATTTGTAATAACCCTTATTCCCATCCCAACAAAAATCACCGTGGCATTCCCCTCAGTCGAGTTGCATTGGCGATCATCTTCAGCCCAAACTGTCGAGCGTCCAGCAGTCGGGCCCTAGCCTGGAAAAAAAACGTGGTGACGAAAAAACTTCAAGGAGTTTCCAAAGACCATCAAAATAGATATTTCTATAAGAAAAGTGATGATAATGATGAAGTTGGAAGAAATCCACCATTCCGAGCATTGAGTTTGGGTCCTGAACTCCATTTAGTCAACCTCCAGTATCACTGGTGTTGCTGGATGTTGCTAGTAGAATTCCCATCCCATTTCTGTAGCCCGTTTCTCTCCCCATTTGGGCTGGGCCAATCTTGGATACCCCGAGATTGAAGAAAGTACTGTGTTGTATAGTATTTTAAACATCTCAATCCATTAGCAAAAGGTTCAAAATCATGATTATATGATATGTATACTGTGTATATATATATATAACATACATATATATATATATATATCATATTATATATATTACACATTTATATATAATACATATATATATATATATGAGACATGATCAAGCCACCCAGTTGGTTTCCCGCCCCCATTTCTGACCCCGCCACAGCACCACAGCACCAGAGTCTGCGCCTCTGCCGAGGCACCGCCATCATTTTTTTGCAGCTCCTTGAGGGCTTTCTTCACCATGATGCGGGTCCTGAAGAGGATCGAATTTCTGGGATATAGGCTGATATAGGATAGGAATGAATGAGATATAGATATATAATGATATACACATATATATATATATATAAGGGGCAACAATTATTTCCATTAAAATTGTGGCACTTGAAATCACTTGAAGGTTTTTAAGTCTTAGATTTTCCAGAGCACGGAGAAGTCATGGGAACCGCCCTGACGTATCTTCGCCCTGGGGACGGCCCTGAGCTTCCAAGCTGAAGGATTTCGTAGAGCATCCGTGGCAGAATCCCCGGCTTCTTGGAGCGCTTCAGAAAGATCGCCTGGAGATTTTCCCAGGACTTTCCGGCGAAAAATGGCGAAAAGATGAGCGGTTTGGACTCCAAGATCTTGGGAATCGCCAACAATGCGGCAAGGAGAAGTCAGTAAGTCAGGGTTCAAAAGTGGATCGTCTCTGATAATCTGACATGGGTATGGGATGGTATGGGTCTTAAAAAATGATATCCTAGCAAACCATTGGTTTTCTTCGTACAAACCATCCCCTAAATAAAATAGACCCTGCCAAATTGGCACCTCGTTAGGCATGACGGACAGGTCCTCCGGCCTGCAGATGAACCCATAATTTCCGAAAAAAGTATACAAGTGGGATGGGAATATGAAGTCACCAGCTATTTGTGGCCTAATTTCTTTGTGAGAATGTAGCTTGAAACCCCAGCTTCGGAGATCATTGTTGTTTTCCTACTTGTGGATTCTCCTGATTTCTTTGCACATGAATATTGGCTTCCTGCAGGCATGGCTACTGAGCACGTGTCAATCACAGCACATCCAAGCAACGAAACACGGCCAACATCGCCCCCAACTCTGATCGGTGCCTGTAGTGCGGTTGCTCATAGGCCTGCGCGCAACCAGCTCCGGCGAGAATTGGAGACACTGACCCTGACCGGACGGGATGTAACAGACTTGACATGACATGGTTAGAATCCAACAGGAATGGTGACTAAGCCATACTTACCCATAGGATCCATGTATGCCATATGAGCTGCGGACCATATTTGTTACATAACGCAATTGACGGGGTGTTCCTACCTCGTTCTCCAGTCCCGTAACGTTTTTGCCTACCTCGTTCTCGGGGTGTTCCTACCTCGTTTTACAAGCTAAATACAATGTTTTTGACAAACCGGGGTACTTCCGAATACTACTTTCCATATACGCAAATAAGAGCCGTCGCTCATATATGGTAACATGAATCCCATCAATATACCCCAAATGTTAGCATATATCCCAGCACCATGGATCCTATGGGTTATATACCCAAGCATAACTTCAAGCATTTTCCTGGATTTTACCTGACTGGTGATATGAAAAATCCCCAGAGGCCCTGCCCGGCCAAGACACCTCCAACACACCCAGCTTCGCAGTGGGGCTTTGCAAATGTTCCAAACGCCCCGCCTGAGCAAACAACAAATACCTGGAAGCTAAATGGCTCTTGTGGGGATGTTTTACCCATGAAATATTGGCTTAGCCATCCCGAATAGGGATCATATGGTGACAGAAACACCTCACGACGTGATCCGGTAGCATTTGGTAGCAGAAAATCATCCATAAAACAAAGTCCGGCAGGAAAGGCAGACATTTTATGTTGAAAAAATGAATCTGCTCTCCACAAGCATGTCTTATGTGTTTCTGCTATGAGTGCACCAAGCCACACAGGTGGAGAAGCACAGGTTGTAGGCGATGATGATGGATGGATAGAGCCTCAGGACACTACACCCAATTGCTATACTCAATCACTAAATAGAACACATATATATATATATACAGTTATCTAACATTCTCTAACATGTCCATATGTCTCTAACGTTCTATTTAGATTTGGAAACATGATGAACCATTGAACCATGTCTACATATTCCCAATTCTTGGTCAACGGCGTCGCCATTTCGCCGTTACGGGCCGGATGGCCGAGGGGCGATTGGAAATCCAGGACCACCACAGGATCGAAGTAGAAACCGCTGCGGGGCCTTTTTGCATCGGGATTGATGCTGTGGAATCAACATGAATCAACATGGCTATCATATGTATATTATATATATAGGTTATAGATATAGGATTCTTGATCATGGCTACTTATGGTTAAGATATATATATATATATATGTATGTATGTATGTATGTATGTATGTATGTATGTATGTATGTATGTATGTATGTATGTGTGTGTGTATGTGTGTGTGTCTGTATGTATGTATGTATGTATGTATGTATGTATGTATGTATGTATGTATGTATGTATGTATGTATGTATGTATGTATGTATGTGTATGGTTATATAATGATATATTTAGGGATTACTGGGTTATTGATGGGTTCTTCTTCTTGTCACCAGGGACGACTGGGTAGCACTGCTCCATAACCAGTGGAATGCACTCTGCTCCACGCTGACTCGCCACCTGATAACCAGGCTGACGGCATGTGACGGCTGCGGGGTAACGCAGTTGAGGTTCGTAACAGGTTTGGCCTTTTACCAGTTAATACCAGTTAATTATAAGTACTTATAGCCTCCATAGATATAAAATATCTATAAATAATAAATGGAACCAACAACAGTATGGGAATTTAAACCCAGTTATTATTTATAGTTAACTTGGTTCGTCTATAGATCCATTTATGGAACCCAGTTATAAATATTTATAAATATTTATAAATAATAAATGCCCACAACTGAAGAAATGGATATAACTATGGGAATTTTAACCCCTATAAGTTGGGATGTAACCCCAGTAACTATGGTTGTGTAATGTTACATATCCACTTGTAACTGGAACTAAACTTCCAAGTAAGCTATAAGGATGGAGCTTTTTGAAAATAGGGCTGTCAAAATTAGGGGCATAGAAAATGGATAAATGGAAGGATTCTGATCCTATGAACTAATGAAATCACTACACCCCTAGCGCTTCCCGCATTGTTTGCGTGACCTCTGATAATACACATCCCGCATGTCTGGGCCTGAGCGCGACTGGGTGATAGCAGCAGCATCTTGTCATGGTGAGCCGCACGAGTGAGCCTGGGGACATTGTGCACCAATTACCATGACCATTTACCGGGGGTCACTGAAAAAGTGAAAACTAAACTCTATAATATATCTATATATATGTATATATACAATCATATAAAATATTATATGTAAATATATACAGTAGCTGGTAATTGTTAATTTAAGTTTGTCCGTGGTCGTTGAATCGGATCAACCACTGCATCCAAGTGGCAACCCCTCCACCCTGTATTGGGATCCTCTGGACAGCACGCTCAACCTCAGAATTTGGGCAAAATTTGGGGAGAATTGGAATGAATTGCTGGTTGTCTCGGTTGTCTCCCTATTTGAGGAATCCTCATATTTTGGTCATGGATTCAGGGGGTTGTCAGCGTATCTGCTATGGTCCAACTCCAGAGGTGCACTAAAACGATCCTTGCTCCGGAAATCGCATGGCCACTACTTACTTCATATTGCCAATCAATATATATATATATTATATATATATATATTTTTATTGTGATCTGTGTGTATATATAATATTAAACATATTTATATATAATATTATACAAATATAAATATATATGTATAATTGTCCATTGGTACAGTATTCTTGAGCCATAGCCATTTGGGTTTGCCCCAAATGGGTCATACCCCTCAAAATTGCAAGTGGAAGGCGATGAAACCTCTAATACCTCGATTTATTTCGAGGATGTTCCATCAAACCTTGTTTGACGAACGGGGGGGTAAAATCTAAAACCTCATCTTCCCTATGGAATTTGCAATGAAGCATCCGCATACTTATCCTTAATCCCAATTTTAATCAAAGCCATACTTGGAAGCGCAGTTCCAGATATAAGAGGATATATATATATATAACCATTGTTACAGGGGTTTATATCCCAACTTTTAGGGGATGATCATAACCATAGTTATCTGGTTGGTGGTTTTAACCATCTTGAAAAATATGAAAGTCAATGGGAAGGATTATCCCACATAATGGAAAATAAAAAATGTTCCAAACCACCAACAGTATATTTATATACAGTATCCATTTCTTAGTAACCTCAACTGCACCGGACGATCGCTCTGGGAGCCGCAGACACATCCAGCCCCAGCATGCGAGCAGTTTCCGCGGCGCGTGGCAGCACCTGGCTGTACACCGGTGGAGCCAATAAGGAACATCCCATTTGCAGGTGGTAAACAACCGGTTACCCTCTGGTAATTTAACGTAGCTATTGAGAATGGCCATTAAAATAGTGGAATTTCCCATTAAAAATGGTGATTTTCCATAGTTATGTTAAATTACCAGAGGGTACAACATGTTACAACCATGTTTAGCATTCTTTAGCAAGGAAGTATGACAGGGATTTTTTTGCTTATCTCACCATTTTTGCTGAAGATCCATCCGAAAAACCAAGTGTTGGCAGGTCACATATGGCGGTCAAAACCCTAGGTACTTGTACCCTACAATAGCTGCTATACCCTCTGGTAAACTAACATAACTATGGAAAGATCCACCATGTTTAAGTTCGGTAAATCCACTATTTCTACGGGCCATTTTCAATAGCTAAATGTCACAAATTACCAGAGGGTATATCCTGAATAGTCACTATTAATCATTATTAATCACTATTAATCACTATTAATCACTATATTAATCACAATTAATCACTATATTAATCACTATTGATCACAATTAATCACACTATTAATCACTATTAATCACTATGAATCACAATCAATTAATCAATATTTTCATCAAATTACCAGATGGTATATCCACCATTTTTATATCCATAAATGGCAGATTCCACTGTATATTGACTATATTAATCACTATATTAATCACTATATTAATCACTATTAATCACACTATTAATCACTATTAATCACTATTAATCGCTACTTATCACTATTAGTCACTATGAAACTGGATTCCTTGATTCCCCAGTCATTTCTGGTCATTTCCAGTCCAGTTTCGACCCATCCCCCTGTCCCGAAAAACGCAACGAGCCAGCCAGGGCGACATTCAGTGAATCCAAGAGCCGCAGGGTGCACTGGGTCTCACCTCACGGCCAAGCCGACTTAGCCAGCAAAAAAGGGTAGTATTAAACCAGCCATGGTATATATATATATGCTATATATATAATATGTTATATATGTATATATATATACATATGATATGATATGATATGATATGATATGATATGGTATGATATGATATGACATGATATTATACAATGTGATATAATGGAATATAAGGGGATACTATGGAATATGATGGGATATATATTATATATAATATTCTGTAAAGGGATATAATCCGATTGATGGGATGCATATTTTTCGCCAACAGATGCCAAAAATATGATTTGGGCTAGTCCAAACACCAGCCCTTCATGGCAACTTGGAATGATACAGCATCAAGTCACTGAGGGTGACGACTGAGACAAAGCCAGTTGTGTCAAAGCACTCCCAAAATCTTTACAGCTATGGCCATGGCTATTACCTATAACTGGTTATTTCAATGGGATTATACATTCCATAAATGGGGTTAGTTCAGTATTTATAACTTATTAACTGGCAAAGGGCCACAATCGTAGGGTGCTTCAGTCTAGCCAATTTATACCTTGACTCTCGACTCGATGTCTCCCAGTCCCCCCACTACCCTTAACTTCACATAGCCATGTAAAATGACCTATTTGCACATGATTTACCCTCCGGTAAACTAACATAACTATGGAAAGATCCACCATTTTTAATGGGTAAATCAGGGTAAATCCACTATTTCTATGGCCATTTTCAATAGCTATGTCACAAATTACCAGAGGGTACCAGCTGTTAAACCTGGTGCTTTTCATAGACTTGTTGGATGGCCAAAGGGTGAGTCTGACACATCACAGAAATTTTATGAGGGATGCCCCAGTCACTATCCAGTGGTAAACGGCTAAAGGCTACGATTGGTGATGGTAAGATATGAATATTGAATAATATGTGTGTATATATATATATATACATTGTATGGTTAGATAAATAATGATATATTAATATATATTAATATATTATGTATTGTATGATTAGATTATATACAAACAATTGGATATCTTTATATAATCTGATCAGTTTTGTGATGGGTGCACTCGACCACAAACACATGGCAGGGTGCCAACATCTGATCCGCTGGCGCTGTCCAAACCATCCCCAGTCATCAGCATGTCATCAGCATGTTTATGGATTCCAATCATCCCCAAATAGTATAGGATGTATAGGAGTCTATGGATGTCTACGGGTTTATGGCATTCAGTGAATCCCCCATTACATTGAATTACATGATACAAAGCTATCCAATCCCACATTCCCACATTACTGTGTTTTGTTGTCCCCAAAAATCATCAAAAATCCCATAGTTCTCAGCGCGTTCTGCCGCACTTCCAGCTCCCAGCGCTCGTCTGTAAAGTCTGTGAGATTCCCAACGCAGCAGGATCTTCAAGGCTTCCTTCCGACCTCGGTTTTCGAACCATCGAAAGAAGGGAAAACATAACGAAGATGTGAAACAATCACATGATTTAAGCAACTTAATGATGGTTTGATAGACCCTACATGAAACGAGGAGGAACCTGGATATGATTTCATTTAAGCAACTTCATGATGGTTTATGATATTTTTCTTGAAACAAAGTGTATCTTTCCGTGTTTGTCTTCAATTATGGCTCCTGGGAAGATGGGCGTTTTTTCCTCGTTTAATCCGTTGGATTTGGGCTATGATTCCCTGACCCATCTCTACGGTTTTTGATCAACCACAAACGAGAAGTCCAAGCCAAGGTGGAACAAAGGCGCAAAAAATGGTGGCATCCGCCTCTGGTTGTTAGGGTTGTTAGGGTTGTTTAAGATTTAAGCCAATATTTCTCTACACTTCGGAGGTTCCATGACTATTTTTGGGCATGATCCCAAACTCACAACCCACTCATGAGGGGTACCTACAACAATCGGGGTTTTATGTTGGCGCCTGTTGTTTGCTGTTGATGGTTGAAACTCAGGTGCCAGTCCATCGGTCCAGCAGTCTTTTCCACCAACCCCGCCGTCGGTTTCAACTGCAGGGCCTTTCGCCGCATCCGCCACGTTGCTTATCAACTGCAAGGCCGTCAAAAGACATTTATCAGAAAACACCCAAGGAAATGGAAGAGATCACTATAATACTATATTTGAGCATCAAAGATAATACCCAAAAATCGTCGAATCATGTCGAATATGTTAAAAGATGTTAAAAGTTACTTCAAACATCTACGTAATATTTGAGTTCCATGTCTTTCGTCTGCCTGCGTTTTCGCATCCTCAGCTTTGGCCATTTGCGGTGCTATGCGGTGCTATGCGGGCCTGTGAAAATTCATGCCCCCCTACTGCCTGCAATGAAACACAGTGTTGGCGACAGGGGGGGTCGCAATGAAACATAAAACCATTCACCCCGTTGTTGATGAGCTTAAACCATCTTAAACATGCTTAAACCATGTGAATGCTGCTGGTAAAATGGCATGTTTCATGGTAAAATCTCCATGTTATACTTTACGAAGCATGATTTCCGGATCATTCATCAGTTATAAGTTGTTTAACTTCTCCCAATGCTTAGCATGCTGAAAATATGTGAAAACCCCACATTTTTTATGGTGATGCGTTCAACGGGCCCGAATTTTTTTGACCTGGAAACGGGGCGAGAGCCTCTCATCATCCAACGGGGCCCACCGCCGGCGAGGCGAAGTGTAAGGAAGCGCTGGGTGAGGCGAACTTCGTCAGGTCTTCGCTCACAGTGCGGTACCTACCGATGGCTCCGTACAGCTATGGGAGTTTCCATAACTAAGGGGGTACCCTAATAGCTGGATGATTTTAGGGGGACCCCTAAAATGACAAAACGGAAACCTCCTAATATCCATATTAGTAAGGATGGCTAAAGAATCCTGCACCACTTAAAACTGGATGGTTGAAACTAGTTGAAAGCCTATTACAGTAATGGGATCAACCACCTCTCAACTGGTGTCGGATTTCTTTCCACTGTATGTCAGGTCGATTTTTCTGAGGCTATGGCTATGTAAGGGGATATACCTCTAATATGGGTTTTCATGAATCGGGGGTACCCCTGATAGCTGGATGGTTTATTTCATGGAAAATCCGAAAATAAATGGATGATTTAGGGGTACCCCCATGACTTAGGAAACCTCCACATGATACGCCCTGGGAGAAATCCTGCACCTGTTGGTAAGTATTAGGTAAGTGTGAAACACTGTAATTAATGTGATGATACTGGGATGTTTACCATCTACCAGCTGCAGAATTTCTTCCGTCCACAGTATGACGGGATATAATAATCATCGTTTTTCTGATATTTGGGTCTGAGAAAAAGGTTTTGTGACCCAATTCATGGCCATTAAAACATGGGGATTAAGGAAAACCAGATCCTCAAGTTAGCCTCAACAATATGAGTAATTCAGTGCTGAAAAGATTAGAGTTATGGCTGGTTGATGTTTTTTTTTGTTCTTCGATTTTCCGATGCGGCCAGTCGGCCAAGTTCACCCGAGGACATTTTGGACGAGGGACCTTGAAGTAGTTTCATTGGTACTTTGAAGGACCCATCAACGGGTCCGGGGTCCCCTTGAAAAGATGGCAAAGATTGGCATGGGATCTGCCCATGATCAAAGTCTGACTAGCAGATGACGACATGGAAGTGGCTAAGCTCAGATAGGAACATAACAACAATTGGAATGTATATAAACCGATTGAAACTATAGATATAAGATTCAATAATGCGACGTTGTAAACGTTAAAGCAATTGTAAAATAAGAATCGGAACATTACAGCAAATGTAAACGTCAGAATAAATTCACCGACTAGTCACCATAATGGATAGAGATTCCAACTTAAACATGGGGATTTTTTTGTGGAAAAAGTGCGCGACCAAGAATATTCCCAACCCATTCCATTAGTCCAGTCTACCGGTTGGATTCCCGGGATCATGGATTCCCAGAATCATAATGGATGGTGATGCTCCACAGTATACCAGGTTCAACATGTTTCAACATGTTTCAACGTTGTGATGATACCAAACATACGGATGATATTTCACGAACAACAAGGCAACCTAGGTAACCTGTCTGCCATGTTTGAGGTTTCAAATTCAGGAATGCATAGACGATGGGTGTCGATGGATATCATCAATGGCATACCTATCAAAGAGGTATATACTGCATACATAAATAAATAAATATTAAAAAAAATAAATAAATAAATAAATAAATATAAATATATTATATATGGGTTCCATATAAATGGGGGTACCAAAAATTTCTAGTTTATAATGGAAAATCCCAATCTAAAATGGAGAACTGGGGGTACCCCCATGACAAAACGGAAACCTCTATATCCAATATGTAGTGGTGTCATCTATAAGTACCTCCGCCCCAAGAACCCGGAAACCAAGTTGTTGCTTCGGTTGCCCCCGCCGTCCCGCCGTCCCGCCTCACGCCCGGTATTCGGATGATCTCGCCGTAAATCGCCTTGGCCATTTTGGGGATCATCATTCGAAAGCGCGAAACTGCGTAAGTCACGCCTGCTCAACATCTGCTTGCCCCATCTAAATGCTCCAGGAAGTCATGCCGTCATGTCATGCAACCCAAATCACCATCTAAATGCAGCGGAAACCTTTGCAGCTGGAAAAATACACAAATTACACAGCTAGGTACATCATTCATGAAACCACCAACTCGCTTAGCTATTCCCTCAAACAATTCCGCAGATGTCCGTTTTTTTTCCGCCCAAAATTTCCCATTGAATTTTCAACAGTTCCCAAGTGATCCAAGTGTCTTGACCCGTGATGAGGATCACGAAGCCAAAGAGTTGCAGCTGACTGCTATCGGTCCATTGTTCTCCGAAGGGCGACGCGGGATCGATCTGGTAGTGGACGAACAAGCCCACGCCCCAAATGATCATGGTCCTGATCACCAAAAAGGTCACTGGTCACTGGTGCCAGAGTCATGTCCAAAATTAACTCACCAGGGTTTTTTGGATGTCCGGCTGAAGTCAATCCACTGTCACAGTTTGTTGTAATTTGAGAGGTGAAACTGCAGGCATTGAATCCATTACCAAACTGGGCGGTGTTTTTGTTGTACCCTGCATCTCGGAGGTAGGTTTGTCCGTTTTTCCTGGCTGCCATCATGAGCCATCTGACCGTGATTCCCAACAGTTCCTAACCACTGTTATCATTTCTAGGAAGGGATTTATGGTAATCCAACATAGCAATTAGAAATCCCTCGTTTACAATTAGATGATTTCCCCAATGGGTCTTCATTTATAGAGAATAAATCTGAGATTGTCCCATGATTTTCGCCGAAAAAACCCTCCATTGCTCGCCCACCTCGAGGCATCCAGCATCATGCGATGCACCGCGGACAAGGCCCCAGTAACGGCGATGCCAGTGATGTTGAAGGTGCCACAGGAAAATAAGTAGATGATCACCACCAGCTGCACCACACTGCCTAAACTAAAATAAGTGAACCTAGAAAAACTTGAACTGTAGATTGATGATAACTTATCGATGCACTGATGACTTTTTTTTGCGGCTGTTTTGATGTTTTGCCCGATGTTTTAGCAAAGATTTCTCTGGTATGTCAGGGCTTGTGATTAATTATGGTGTTTAAGCGATCGTTGGGGTCGTCCCGTAGGGAGCCTACAAAAAAACCACCTGGGATGAGACCTGGGAACAATGTAAAAAAATGTGGCAAACCCAATAAACAACTACGGTACCATTTGGGGTTGCTTTAAACCCATTTATGTTGGGCCCAATGTTGGGTTATGTTGGGTTATGTTGGGTTATGTTGGGTTAACCACAGTACCATAGAGGTTATGTGTCCAACTGTCCCACACTGCCCGCGGTTAAGTGAATGGGCCTAGGTGTTTCTTCCGAGGCAACATGATAAGTTTGGGCAAAGGTCCACCCGAGACTTGGGTACTCAAGGAGGGTTCCGAAAATATCTACGCCGTAGACCAAGGTGCTGTTGTAAAACATCACCAGAGTGTCCACCAGATCCTGTCAAGCTTGCGGTAGAACGTTTTGGACGTTTTTGGTAACCAACAAAATGAGTTCAGCAGTTGGTCCTGCAGCTATTCATGCTAATGCATGCTAATGCCGTAATGGTGGTGCCTCAGGTGACCACGAAAATCCATTGGTGAATCAGAATTGTCCAATTTTTCATCCATTGCATCCCTTACTTTTGGATACTTTCAGACACATTCCACAGTTATGGCCCGAAATGCCACTCCTAAGTCATTTATGTTATAAGTACTTAAATAACATAACCCCGTAAGAAATGGTTTATGTATAATCCCATAGAGTTATAACCAGTCATAACATTAACTATAACTATCCTAGCCATGGCCATGCAGCAAACCCTCCTCTTGGTGTCCATGATCCGGGCCAGGGATCAACCACAGCGCTGGGTAGACCACGACCACCATCATCAGCACGCCCCAAATCCCTTCGAATCCGATTATCTCCTGGAGATTCTCGGTGTTTGAAAAAAATGCTGGGTCTTTGAAAAGGAAAATGAACACGTTTTGATGAATCAGGAAAAAACGTGTATGGAAAAGTATAGAAGAGGAATGGAGAAAGAAAGTGGGATAGCCGTTTCTACCAGCCCAACATTTCGAATGGAGTAATATGTTTTTTGCGGAAGCCACCAACGGAACATTGACCATATGCGCCAAAGCGAAGCGGAGCGCAAACTTTTGACATAAACTCAAAAACACAACTCAATTATATATTAGTTGTTGGTCACAAAGCTTTAATCACTGATCTGTGCTGATGACAAAGCGGTTCGAATACCATCATACAGTGATGGCCCGAAATACCAGTTATAAGTACTGAACTAACCCCATTTATGGAATGTATAATCTCATTGAAATAACCATTAAGTATAACTAATAAAGTTGGCTCATTTTTCGGCGACGCTTTCACATTTTTCCGTCCAGTCACCACCGCTGGGAGATTCACATCTTTCATGAGGAATTCCTCCAGAATCACCTCGCAACGCAGCAAGAAAATCAGGGTACCCCCAAATCATCCAGTCGTAATGGATGACCATGACTTAGTATTGAAACAAACATGGCGACAACTGGGGATTCTCTATTTTGAGAAACCCCCAAATAACCACAACTGCTGCCCGCCCAGCGCAGAAGCAACGTACTCCCACTAATCATTCCAAAATGTTCCAGCAAGTTATCCACAACAATGATGTTAGATAAAGACTTGTCCACAACAGTGATGTTAGTTATCCAATTAGTTATCCAATTAGTTGTCCACAACAATGAATTAATTGGGACATGTTACGAATTGAAGATGTGTGATCTGCAAAGACAAGAGTTGTAATTTGACTCACCAGATCTACCCACAACTCCGCAAGGAAAAATTGGGAGATGTACTGACAAATGAGAAGTTGATAGACCCAACATGGTGACTTCTATGACCTGTATGACAACAATGGGGATATTGTATGCTAAAAGCATTGAAAAACTCAAAAAGCGGAAGACACTCAAAATGACCAGTCGACTGGTTGATCGTCGATGGTCATTGATCAGACCTTTTCATCTTGGGGTGATTGTGTTAAACATAGAATCCTGTGAAAAAACCTGCTTTGTTGGCTTCTATATTTACATAACATAGTAGTCAAAAAAAACGAAGAATCATGCGTTATTTCAACAACATGCTGTAGTTCACATCTCAACAACGAACAGAATGGTTGGCTGTGACGGGATGTGTTCACAACAACCACCCAAATTGGAGGTTACGTTATTTTGATCAACAGCAACCCGTCTTCAATTTGCACTAATTCGGTGGATTCTTCGCCAGATTCCCCAGACGGCTCCAAAAACTGGTTGGTTTTTTGAACGGGATTCCCAGTCTATGGATTGTGATCATCCCAGAATATTGGATAGTATAACTGTATAACCCCATCATATCCCATCTTACTGGCTGATCAACCAACAGAAGTAGATCGCAGCCACTGCTCTTAAAAGGGGGTTAACCTTAAAATGGGAGATCCCTAGTTACTAGTCACCATGGTCAATACTAAGTCACGGTCACCCAAGGATGATAACTGGGGGTAGGTTTCCATGACTTGACGGAAACCTCCATATATTGACCATAGTCAATAACCACACATAGTTACATAAACATCCATTCATTCCCATTGAACTATGGTTAAAACAGTTCAAAGCCCATTCAGATCCATTAAATCCATTTAAATCCCATAGAATGTGGGTAAAACAATAATAAACCATCCCCAATTTCACCATAAATTATTATTTTAAGCACATTACTAGTATTTTGTTCCCAGCCCAGCCCGCCTGTGCTGCTTGGACCACCTGCCACAGCAACGTCAGCGTCACGCCGAAGAGCACCGCCGACGCGTTCGCTTTCGCCGCCGCGTCCTCTCCGCCGCCGGTGTCGCCCGCAACGCTGGCGTAGCCCACTGTGACGACGCCTGGGATGCCAATGGTGGTCCCAAAAGCTGGCAGGATCATCCCATTTTGATCCGTTCATTTGAGTGATATACTAACTAATAGAATAGGATATATATGGATATATGATATACTAATACCATTAGTTTATTCGTATAGGATATATTGAACTTTCATTAGTATATCCATGTTGTTTCTGAAAATAGGATATACTAATGCTGATGCTGATGAACTTGTGGAATGTGGTACCCTATTTTTCAGAGATAAACCCATTTACGAAGTTATAAATGGAACAAGCCTAGCAGCGTATACGGGACTTACGACCCAGGGTATCATCCACGCATGGGGATGTCATTGGGGTCGGAATGTAGGCAATTTTTTTTGGATGTCACGGGGAATCAAAGTGAGATGTTATGGATATCATAGCGATATCCAAAAGATAATTAGGTTTAAAGTTACGGGATAGTCATCAACAACTGTGGATTTCAGTATAACAATCATGGGTATTCCGATATTCCATACTTTGTTGATTTTGATGGTGAAGAATCTCCAAACATGAACAAAAACGCGAGGCTCTGACTTACATTGTGGAGAAATGCATACGAATATAGCGGAACAGTGGAATGTCATGAAATGTCCAATAGCGGTCTTTGACACGCATGCTCAAATCTGGCATTGTCAAAATCTCCCATCAACATCCGCCCGGGGTTCTGGGGGTTTCTCCAAATTGGGAATCCCCCAAATCTACTGGTTGATCATCATGTTGGTATCACTTCCTGAGATTTTCCCTCTCAACATCGCCATCTTTGCGGCAAAAACGTTTTGCGAATTTTCAGACACAGCCGGCACCACCGCACCGCCCGATACCGCTGCGCCTGCCATGCACAGCATCAAACCTATCCAGTGAAAGGCCTGCAGCCTTCGCTTCAGGAAGATGACTGAAAAGATTCCGGTGAAGAACAGTGTCGCTCCTGGCACCGTCGAGCTGGTGAAACCGTTAGATGCACCTCCAAGATTGTCTTCGAAAAAAAAACCTGGAAAATAGACCTTTTACCCAGGATACGTTCTACATTTTCATCATTTTCCCAGTAAAGGATGTACAGGGGATTTTGTGGTCACGAGAACAATGTTGGACTCCCCGAGGGATTTTTTGTGCCAAAATCTCGCTGTGTGATGGACTCAAATGGCTTGGCGTTTGATTTCGTCCATGTCAATGCATCTCAGTTGACATGAGAGGAAAAAACTTTGGGGGGGTCACCATATTAAACATTGAACGCATATTTAACTATCAAATTTCAAATGTTTGAATATATCAAATAATATCAATAATAGTAATCTTATATATATTATATTATATATTGTATGTTGTATATGTGTTATGATATATTATAATATATTATATATTATCATTATGATTATTGTTATTATAATTAACATTGCTTTCATAGAACTTTAGAAGGGTGTGAATAATTCGTCCAACTATGGTAGGTGATTTCTATACCCCAGCTCTAGCAACTGACCATCTTCAATATCCCAAAACGATCCAGAAAAAAAAAAAACGAAAAAAACAATTCCACAGCCAACGGCATGGCCCGAGTTATACCAGTTATAAGTAATTAGAACATAACCCCATAATAATGGTTTGTGTACAATCCCATAGAGTTATGACCAGTTCTAACTACCCATGGCCATGACCAGTATTCTTCCCTCACCTCTCAGCATCTGCCAGACGCTGGCCGGAATGTACATGATGCCAATGGCCGCCAAGGCCGTTGCTAACAAATCGCTGGCCGCTGGCACGGCCACCATGGCAATCTTGCGCTTGCGACCCTTCTCCTCTCCTGCGTTTTTAAGGCCAAGTGAAAAAACGAAGACAGGGAGGTCCAGGGACTAGCCTGCAGTATACCAAAAATAGATATAATATATATATATTGTGTATATATATATACGCATATATACAATTATAATCAATGATATTGATATTATATACATGTATAGGAGATCAAACATTTGTAGATCAGTGAAAGCCATGGATTTCGACAGCCATGTTGGTTTACTGGAAGGTCTTGGAATGATTTTCTGAAAACATGAATCAATGAATGTTTCACCAATTTGAAGGCCCTGGTGGGCTATTTTTGATTTTCTTAGGGTAAAATTAGAAAAGACATTGCAAAAAGGCATTATAAAATTCACCAGGTGGGGAAATGCCAACCATCCAATGTTTCATCCATTCCCATGTGTGTGTGTACGTATTGTAATTTCCTGATCCTTTCAAAAATGAGGATGATCCCCTCTTGCTGGTGAGATCTCACGCTGGTTCCTCCCCCACATGTACAGTGAATGTCTGGGGATTCTTTGCAATTTGTGTCACTGTCAGTGTGAACTGCATGAACTGCACATTCGTCAAGATAAGAGATTATATACTTGGCCATCAAGGTATGTATATGAGGGTCTCTTGTGTCATGGGGGTACCTCCAAATCATCCGGTTGTCAGGAATGACTATGACTTAGTATTGAAACCATGGTGACGACTGGGGATCCCCCATTTTCAGAAACGACTCTATCTGTATATATTCCATCTGAACGTATTTCGTAATTTATCATCCTTTCTCCCAACATTGAAGTGGCAAATCAAAAAAAACAAACCTGACAATGTCTAATGTCTGAAAGATGTATAAATAAACCACAAGATAGATACCTTTTGTGTCCTCTTCCAATTCAATATAGCTATGGAAATCACTATTTAAAAAAAACGGGCCATGGTTTCCACAGCTATGTTGAATAGAGTGTAGTCCTCCAGGGCATTTGCCACCCCCCCTATTTCAGAACTCATCAATCATCAACCATCACTTATCAACTATATCCCTATATATATATACATACATACATATCCCCATATGAATGGATTAATTGGAGGTGAAATGGTGAATGGACAGAATGAAATACATACCCCAAAAAAACACTATGAATGGATTGATTGGAAGAAAACTACACGGACACCATCGATGTTTTTTACCAGCAAATACAGTGGTTTCCTGCATATTTGCCATTAAAACAACTCTGGCACACTAGAAATCCAAGTGTGTCCACAATTGGATAAGGTACAAATCATATGATTGGGTATTATGTTTTCATGTTCATACATATATATATATATATACATACACGTATCAGTAGATCCCATTAGTTGTAACCACATATACCAATTAATCTATCATCCATCCACTTAACCCATGCAAATCCAACATATGCTTGATATGCTGGATATATATATATATACCCTCAGGGACCCAGGTTCTCCGATGACCGCACACCGGTTGTTGCCCCGCTGCAGATGATCCCGTTGTATCATGCTCCGCGACAGGGCAGGGTGGGGTGGGGGGTGGGGTGGGGGGTGGGGTGGGGTGGGGTGTATTATCGTTCGTGGAATGTTGATCACGTTGTTGATGCTCTGTGTTCAATCTGTTTGGTTGCAGGTGATGCGCAGGTGGTCCCCAGGGGATATCAATGTATACATATGTACATATATATATATATACTGTTAACAGAAATGGTGATAACAGAAATAATTAACCCTTACTTGATGATGATTTATAGGAATTACTTGGATTAAGACAAGTAATCGTTGGTTCATGCTCCATGGTCAGTGTATAATAGTGAACAATGATGATCCATTACTATGAACAAAACTAGCTACGTGCATTCTTACAGTGAGTGATCATTAACAATATCATTGATCATATCATAAATTGCCACCAAAAAAAAAACCTCGTCATGAGCACAGATGTCGAAACAAAAACAATATCTTGAATCCATATGGGAAATACCATGGAAATTTCACCACACATGAGTTTCGATTGGGAAAATACAATGAATCACGAAAGATTAAAAAAAAAACAAGAAACATGCTGACTGTCAGGGTCCTCACTTTCAAGCAACATTCAAATGTAGTGCAAATACCATGTAAAATAAGGCTACCTTTATTTTGCTGGTGAAAACACAGTGTAAAATGAGATGTTTCAACATATGTTGCATACCATCGCAACGTGTCTGTGCTGTATTTATAAGGGGATTTACAACTATACCCTCCTAACCCATATCAAGTAAATCACAACTTTGTAAGCGCTCAAAACGGACGATATTTTTTTCACCCGTTTTGATGCCCAATTCCACATAACAATGCTTCATGTCAAAATGCTAGTTTCGCTATGGCGAAACGCACATTTTCACATGTTTGATCATCAACACCTATCATCTATCGGAGAACCTAGGGCCCCATCCGTATATATATATAACTAAGTTGACTAATATCCCCATATCCCATATTGTATATGGGTATGAGTCAAAATTGGGTACCCAATACTTACATGGTTAATACCAGAAATATGTGGTCCCCGGGGTCTTAAATTTTGACCCATTCCCAGCAGTTTGACGGTTAAAAAAAAAATATATATAATATATACATATATGGTTGGTTATTAAGTACATACATATACACTAGATATTTGAATACATTCTATACATCTATAGATCCATCAGCTCTGTGTATTATCTATTTTTTTGGTGAAAAATCCTCAGCAACGTCTCCTGGCTTTGGCAGCAGGCCTTCCTGAGGCGGGGCCCGGCGCGGTGCCAAATATGGGATGTCAAGGGGGCATGAGGTATTTATACGTATATTTATTTATTTATTTACTAGAACTGACATGTAATGTGTGTATATAAACATGTCTATATATATATATATTTACAAATATATATGTATATAAATGTGTATATATATATATATATATATATATATATTTTTATTTATTTATATATATCTGTATATATATATATATAAATGTATATATATATGTATATGTATATATATATATATGTAAATAGATGCATATGCATATATATATATATGTAAATATATGTATATGCATATATATATATACATATGTAAATATATGGATATGTATATATTAATATAAAGAATATTTGCATATAAACATATTATATGTCTATGGGTAGAGACATCCGACTGAACTTGATCATACGTGCCTGTCGCTTTCCTTTGTACTGCATCCCACATGTCCACACCTTGGAGGACTCGGCCATCATCTGTGGTGCAGCACCACAGCAGCTGGCAGTGCAGGCAGTGACCAAACGTTCCACCAGCAGAACCAGTGCCATGGCCTCGGCTTGACCCCTTGGGCATTGCCATGGAAATACCCGAAAATACCATGCCATGAAATACAGGGTAGTCCGTAGATACATGCAGATACCCACTAAGCCAGTTTGTACCACCCCCTATTTCTTGAACCTAAATACAAAGCTGCTTGACCGAAGTCAAGCCGAGACCTACTTTACTGGAGAAAAATGAAGATATCATGAAGATACTATGTGAAGAATATGTGGGACATACCAGTACCAGTAGTACCGCACAAGGCGGTGGCGGAAGGAGAGGTTGGTAGCTGTGAATCACGGATGGCAGAGCGAATCCACTGATGGACCGAAAGGTGGTTGGAGTTATGTTTTTTGGAGTGGTTGCAATGGTTGCAGTGGTCACCTCACCTCAGCTGCTGGATGTATCTATCTATCTTTCTATCTGCAAGATTGAAAACGAAGCTATTCTGCGAGACTTCCTTCAAAAATGGAAAGTTGAGTGCAGAGCTGACAGCCTCGTACCAATGTGTTTTGCGGTTTTTCCACGCCACCTGTCTAAACTACTGCGCCCGCCACGAAAAAGTGATGCCAGGTCATACGAAGTGCTGCACCTGTCACGCAAAATCACTTCAGCAAACCTGAAGATCTGATGCTCCAAAATGCAACCCCTCTCAGGAACTCAGCGCCCGGACCTCCGAACAGCTCTGATGAACATGTCTCTTGTACTGCGCCTGCCACGCGAAATCCATCTTTGCAGATCCTCGTCAAATGTCCCACGCTTGCCATCGTTTTTGGAAATGCCACAAAACCTTCACGTTTTCCTCACTCTTGACAAGGTGCACAATCCCTAGCGCATGCCACGCAAAACCACATACTTCCAAAAGTGGTCCGAGCCCGTCAGTTTTTTATTCCAGATGTGCTTCTCGCCACAACGGCGTGCACTTTTTCGACATCTCAACTTCCAAAAGTGCTCCGAGCATGGTGTGCTTTGTACATTCTGACTTGGAAACGTGCTTCGCGCCACAATGGCGTGCGCTTTTTCGACATCTCAACTTCCAAAAGTGCTCCGAAACTGTCAGTTTTAACACTGTTGACTTCGAAATGTGCTTCGCACCACAATGCCGTGCAATTTTTCATCTCGCATCTGGCCAGATGGCTCCGCACCCGCCGCTGTAGCAACCCTACTTTTCGACCCGCCTGAGCATTGGGAAAACACAATGAACCGCGACTTTTCTACCTTTTCGCGGCTGCATCTTCTTTCTACTGACTCTTTCTCTTCTCTGATCTTCTTGCTTCTTCTCTGCTCTTCTCTGGCTCTTCCCACCTCAGCTTTTTCATCTGTCCATATTGCCGGAAGTTTGACTTCTAAAACTTCCTTCGATCATCTAGAACAATGTTATGATGTTGGGATATAACTATGATATAGCCATATGTAACCGATGTAAGCTACAAATAAAACCTGGGAGACCCGGCAAAGAGCATGTTGAAGGTTCCAAACCAAGGTTTCCTGAAGGTCTCCTCTTCTCCATCCTGCAGTTAGCTGTGAATTTCACCTGCAGGGTGGTATTTCTAACCAACCATTGGATGGGGATTTTTCTGGAGTATGCATGAAATATTCATGGGATCAAAAATATGCAATAAATAGTCTTAAATCATATATCATGATATTTGGGAAAGCCCACAAAATGGTTGTGTTTTGACAGGGAAAATTATGCTTTTAACTGGTAGATTCGGTAGATCGAGCGTCGTAGCCTGTTTTCAGACACGCCCAAATGGCTCGCCACTCCACTCTGGGAATGCAACATGGCAATGGAACATCCACCAATTGCATCCAAGCCCTCACAACTATCTGTTGCACATGTATATAAATATATGGATGGGGGTTGTCCAAAATTATGGTACCCGAAAACGCCCGAAAACGCCGCGCTTTCGCGAACCTTTCGCGCCCTTTCGCGCCCCAGCAGAATCGGGACATGAGATTATGATCAGGTTTTCGTTTACTTATAGGTTTATTTATAAATAATGGTATTCAGACCTTTCGCGAACCTTACGCCGCCCTTTCGCGGCCTTTCGCCACTGCAGCAAAACATACACATCCATATCTGCAGATGTCACTCGGATACTCAAAGCCTTGCATGGGTTTTAGGACGACTCCCATATATAATATATATGTAGATGATTTAAATTCATTTTGTGGTATTCTATACATATCCTGTGTATAAAATATGCATCCATACAAAATCGTAGTTGTGGAAAAAAAAACACTAGGATTCTACTCATTGCCATGCTTCACGAGAATCTTTACACTTACGCCAGCGTGGTCCTTGCCGAGACTGTGGAGCTGAAACTGGAGCTTCGTGGAAAGCGTATTAATGCTTCCAGTGATCAGCATGCCAGCGACATAGAGAGCCGTAAGCCATGCTGGGGTTTTCCTCAGGCACGTTGGGGATATCCTGGTGTATTGTTTTTTTGTGGGGGATCTAAGCACTAGCAAATAGGGGAAAAAGGGCTTTGTTTCAAGGAAAAAGGCGACCTGAGAAAGCATTCACCAACAACTGACCATGGAGAATGGACATCACAGGATGCAACAGGATGTAATGGCTTCCCAGTAAACATACACGGTAGTTGCAGGCGCAAAACTTCCCAAACAAATATATATATATATAATATATATATATAACATATATATATATAATTGAATTCTCGTTTTCTGTTAAGTTTTTGGAGGTTCAGTTCACTTTGTTCCCTTCAACTCCGTACGTCAAGTCGTCGCCGAGACTCTTTCTGCTACTAGCCATCTCTGTGACAAAGTTCGGATGCTTAAAGCGATGCAAGCCGGAGCTGCGGTCGCCGTGGTTTCATCATGTTCATCTTCCATGATCTTCCACACTTATGGCCCTAAACAGTTATATATGGGTTTATAATGATATATAACCCTAGTTATAGGAGTTATAATTCCATTTATAACTGTTAGTTGGGCCATAAGTGCAGAAAGTCATCAGCGGAACATCTCTGGATATCAGCAACACTTCGATCTTTTAAGCAATCATATATTTTTCGAATAAAAGGAATGATTCTCGAGAGATTTTTGAAAAACGGTGGTTTTTTTAATGTGGCTTCCGTTCTTCGTCGGTAACTTATCTGCCAGCAACCTGGGATCTTCTGACTCTCCAAGGTGCCTCTCCAGCGTTGGGCCTTGGTGGGGATGGTTTAATGAAAACTCGTTTGATCTAAAAATGTTGATTTATAAAGACACCACAAAGAAAACTATAACTAAAAGGAACTCCAGCAATGGACTGAGGATGTTTGTAAAAATACTGCTTGATGATGGTCGTTTCGTCTTTTTTCCGATGTTGGTCGCCTTTTAGATGCCAAGAGGTAAACCATGGTAAACCCTACTGGACATCGGCCAAGCAATAACAGCATTGAACATCCAGAACCAGAAAAAAAGACTATAGCCATTGCTGTTCGAAAATGTAAGTGTTCCAAAATTCGAGAAATATACAATATATCATAGTATATCTACATAGAGAGAGAGAGAAAGATCATATGGCTATGAGTCAAAACCGAGTATCCTAGGCAACCCAAAATTGCTGGTTAATGCGTACTTATCCCCTAAGAATATTGTAATGATATGTATATAGGTTTTGACCCATCTCCATACAGTTCTGGACTTTATTAGTTATAACGTGTTATAACTGGTTATTTCAATTGGATTATACATTCCATAAATATCCATAAATGAGTTCTGCACATTTTTTACTGTTAAATAACTGGCATTTCAGGCCATAGCTGTATACACCTTCAACTTTCGTAAAGCGATGGCTTTCCAAAGCGGGAAAGCCATCGCTTGGTCCAGGGCACCATCGAAAGCGGTGGCACCAGCGGAAAGATTTCGCCTAACCTGGATCGACAGCACCATGGATGAAGCCCGAGGTGGAAAATGGAGCAACAAATGCTGAGAAATGGTCAGAAATGATGGGACATAATATATATATATATATTATATATATATATTATATATATATTATATATATTATATATTATATATATAATATATATATATATATATGGGAAATGTTGGGAAATGTTGGGAAATATATGGGACATGTTGGGGAATACATGGGAAATGTTGGGAAATACATGGGAAATGTTGGGAAATACATGGGAAATGTTGGGAAATACATGGGAAATCTCGGGATTCATCATGGAAAGAATTTGGGAACATATGTGAGGGGTCCTTCGATCTGGCTTTTGTGGCCTGGGTATCCATGCATTGGTCGTTGCAACCCAACTTGCGTGATCATTTGATGAATCATTTGATAGACTTGCTAGTGCATATGGCATATGGATTCCAACAAGAATCATTTAAGATAAAGTGTATGAATCTACAGGTATTATTCAATCAGCTAGTTATTATGTTCATTCCACAGAGGTTTGTCTCTTGAATTGTGAATGTATCAATTTCTCGTTGTTCTGACCATCCAAACCGAAGCTTAGATTCCCTGAATAGAAGAACAGCAGACTGTAATATGGATGTGTATGAGAATGAAGCCCCGACCCAGCCTACCCCCATGTTGTTGGCATTTTTGTTGAACTAATTAACCAATGGATTTAGGTGGTTTCCCGATGTTGAGGTACCAAGCCTATGTTCCCCTGAGATCCAAGCAAGTGTTGCGCAGCCGTTTGCAAAGAGCTGGTTTGAAGCTTGGCCTCACCCCTTAACACCTCGGGCAACGAAAAAAACAGACATTGGTGTCTGAAATTGGGGTACTCCAAAATCCAGATAAAATCCAGTTGACCATCTTTGTCTTTCCAAGATTTTCCAAGTGCCATCGCGATAATCTAACTCTTGGACTTCCAAGGCTGAAAGTCCAAGGGTCCCCTATGACTTGACCAAAGGCACCTCTCTGTACTTGTTTCAAGTGCCGTCGGCCACAAACATTGAAACATCCATGGTCCATGGTCATATGTGCTATTTATCCACCAACATCAACAATGGCAGGAACAAAAACATACAAAAACAGTCCAGAAGCAGAATCATCTAGGAATCTAGTCCTTATCACCACCATCAGCCATGAGGACAACAACTCTCGGCTCATTTCGGAACCAGGGCACTCTCCACACGTTCAACAAGAGCCTTCCCGGCAGCTCCAAGCCTGGCCCGGCAACCGGGGTAGCCCGGGTAGGAATGGCTTCGTGGCTTCGTTACACGATGGCATGTATTGAAATTACCCACATTTGGGCCACTTTCGGGGCACATGTTGCTGGAACAACCTACCCGGAGAAAAGAAACATCAAGAAACTCTGTGTCTTTGGCACCGAAGAAAAACAACATGTTCTTTGGAGACCTGCAATGAATTGGAGATTCATGTTCCGAGTCATGCAATGTTTTGGCCATTGTTGGAATAAGTGCTGCGTATCTCTCTGCTTCTGTAAACCACATATTGATTCATTTCCGGAATGTGGGTCAAAACCCAAGCAGCACCTTGATTTTCACACCAAAATAGCTGATTTTACTTAGCAGTAAGTAACAGGGGTTGTTCATTCCCAGAAAAAAAAATATAATACAGGTTTAAAAATCAGTAATAGAGGTTTCATGCCAAAAAATGTATCAAAAAAATGGTCGGTGACGGATATATGATGATACCCTCTGGTAATTTAACATAACTATGGAAAATCACCATTTTTCATGGGAAATTTCACTCTTAAATGGTGATTTTCCATAGTTATGTTAAATTACCAGAGGGTATATATGTTTCTCATTTGATGTTTCAGCAACTTTCACCAACACACAGCCGCTGTCGCTCCCAGCCTCCACTGACTTGCTCTGGGGGATACAGTTTACGTCCACCTAACCGACCA